TACACAGTAATGGTAAATATTGTTGTATGTAAATGATTATAAAAACATATGATATGATGATATATTTCTCTACAGAAGCCTTACTATGACTCACGGTTACAGTATATAGAAACACTGTTACAGAAAAGAGTCGGTCGTTTTGATGAATTCTTTACCTTCTCTTACTGGGATATTGGAAACCGAATTCATATAGTGTTACAATAAGGTTTAAAAACAATTCATGTTTTTTAAAGCCCGATGACCTCTGTTTCTCAATTTATTTTAAAGTTATTTTAACAAGAACAGAAATCTAATTTCAAAATATTCAAAATTAGATAAAGTATTGAATCCAATACATACAAATTTTAAACAGTGACTTATTAAAAAAAAGATGGGGTGCCTATCAGCAAAAGCAACGACAAAATTTGTTTTTAACATTTGATATTAGATTTGAATCAAACACCTATGTAGACATACATTGTATTTCTAACTGATGTTTGCCAGTAAATCTGTGTTCCTTCTGATGACATCCGTTAATTACAACAAGAGAATAGGTCTTTGGATCAAGAGATAGTTTTATGGATAAAGATATATTTCTATGGATAAAGAAAAAGTTCTATGGATAAAGATGTATTTCTATGGATAAAGAAATAGTTCTATGGATAAAGATATATTTCTATGGATAAAGAAATAGTTCTATGGATAAAGATATAGTTCTATGGATAAAGATATATTTCTATGGATAAAGAAATAGTTCCATGGTATATGTTTACATCTCTTCAGATTACAAATCATTTGAGTAACCAAACTACAAAGACAATACATATGTATATATAAACTTTCCCTTAGATCCCGTTTTCCACAGCTAAACTCTAAATAGAATATATTACATCTCTCGAACACCTGTTTCCGTTTAAAAAAAGCAGATATGAGTATGTAATCAATAGCGCACAGATTTTATTGTCATCATCATACCTGTCCGTCCACCTTCTGGCGTTAGATATCGTTCTACAATATCATGTTGGCAAATGAGGTCAGGGTCTTTACAAGCTATTACACTGACCTTATTTGCCTACAATTTTTGTCCACTTTAAAAAAGTATTCTTTTATTAAAAAAATGTATTGATGCTTCTTCTGTCTATTATTCTTCAAATACAAAGCTGTGTGTCTCTTGTTCAGGTCACCTCTCTCTCTCTCTCTCTCTCTCTCTCTCTCTCTCTCTCTCTCTCTCTCTCTCTCTCTCTCTCTCTCTCTCTCTTTCCCTTCCCCTTAGAATATTTAAATACATGCATATACTTGAGCGTTGGTGTGTTTACAGTGTGTGTGTGCGTGCACGTGTATGATATGGTGTATGTGTGATTGTGTTTGTGTCCTGTGATACATTGTAGATAGCGGAACTTACGTGGTATGTACATTGTATAGAAATTACAGTGGTTATATTGAGTCATACACACAAAAAAACACTTAACTGCAAATCTGATGATATTGATGATCATTTTGATGATGGATGTATCATGTTATTGTTGATGATGATGATGATGATGATGATGATGATGATGATGATGATGATGATGATAAATGTATTAAAATGATGATGATGATGATGATGATGATGATGATGATGATGATGATGATGATGATGATGATGATGAATGTATTATGTTGATGGTGATTATGATGTATGATTGTCTACGATGTATTGGAAAATAAAAAAAATAATTACAAAAAAAAAAAACAAAAAATACAATATGTATTGCTGAAAAATTAATGTGGCGTTTTAGATCGTGTGTTCTATGTTTTGTATATGATACACAGTATTGGTAAATATTGTTGTGTGTAAATGATTAAAACACATAAGATATAATGATATATTTCTCTACAGAAGCCTTACTTATGACTCACGGATACAGAATATAGAAACGCTGTTCCATAAAACAGTCGGTCGTTTTGCTGAATTATTCACCTTCGCTTACTCGGATATTATCAAAAACCGGATTCATATGGTGTCATAATAATGTTTAAAAACAATTCATGTTTGTTGAAAGCGTGATGACCTCGGTTACGCAATTTCTTTTTAAGTAATCTTAACCAGAACAGAAATCTGATTTAATAATATCAAATAATAGATATAGTATTGAATCCAATACATACAAATTTTAAAACAGTGTCTTAACCAAAAAAGATGGGGTGCTCATCAACAAACCAACGACAATATTTATATCAATAACGGAAACAAGTACAACAACGGAAACACTGGTATCTATAACAACAACGGAAACACCGGTATCTATAACAACGGAAACACTGGTATCTATAACAACAACGGTAACAACAACATCATTTGTAGCTATCGCTATACCGAATGTTAATGTCGTCTGTTGATGACCAAGGAGAGACACAGCAGTTAAGTTAGAAGAGCGTTTCACATTGCAGTCTTCTTCAAAATAATAACATGAGATTGACGAGTATATATCATATGCTGGAAAGATCTGGTTTTCACGTCTGCTAGAATTAGGAGATCTGTAAGATATATTACAACAAGATGATTTAGGACTCTGTAAAACATCACCAGTCTGAAGTGGGTTTTTTCTGTGTAACTGAATGAGAGGCCAGTGTAATGCCCTGATTATTTCAGTTACAGAACTGGTGTTTTGTATCTGTTACAAACGAATCTTGCAGAAAGATGTTGGACTTTCTTATTTTGGTTCAATTGGGGTCCCATCTAGATGGACAATATTAAGGTTTTGTTGGCAATGTTTTGTTTGCTAGGTCTTTTTCAGTTTATTTTTAGGTGCGCCGTGCGTCAGCTTTCCAATAAAACGACTCCTCAATAACCAAAAGTTACATTTTTCTTATTTTTGTTAAAATGAATTACCCTGAACCTTTTACAATGTCACTGGGGTCAAGTGTGTTCAAATCTTTAAACGACTTCTCAAAAACTAAAACGCCCAGGGTTCTTCTCTTTGGACTGCAAAAGAGCCTGAGCAAAAGGCAAAAGCCCTACAAAATTTGTGAAAATGAATGAACTTGACTCGTTTTCAGGGTCACCAGGGTCAAATGACTTCTTTCCATAACCAAAAGATCTCTGATGCTGATATTGGGCCTGTAGCATGTTCCGATGAAAGGTTAATGGGTTGGTTAAAATGAATGACCCTGACCGTTTTTCAAGGTCACAAGTGTGAAATGTAATGTAAAGTTTAAACGACGTTGTTTCGCGAACCAAGGGTGCTGGGACGAAGGGCTTCTCAAGTTTGTTAAAATGAATGACCTTGATCTACATTCAAGGTAATGGGGACACATGTCCAAAATCTTTAAACAACTTATTCTCAATAATTATAGTGTTAATATTCGGCCAGCAGCATGCTGGTGTAAAGGGCTACCAAGTTTGTTCATATTATTAACCTTCTCTAATTTAAAAATCTTTATACGACTTCTTCTCAATAACCAAAAGGCTTAGGGGTACTGATATTGGGCCTATGATATGTAGGGATGAAGGGTTGCCAATTTTGTCTATGCTGTTGATATTGGTTCTTTAACAAAAGTGTATAAAGATCTACCAAATTTATCAAAATAATTGACCTTCGTCTACATTCAAGGTATTTTTGGTCAAATGAGATGAGACATTCCAATTTCTTTTTCAGCAAGCAGTAAGTCGGGAGTAATGCCACAAGTGTAGTAACATGTAAGTTTGCAGAAAATGTTTTTATGAACCTACCATTGCTTTCTTTGTAAGCTGTAGTGTAGTTGATTAATCTATTCTAAGCCTAATTGACTTCTTTCATATATAGGCCTTTATAATCAGATGACCATTAAGGCCCGTGGGCCCCTTGTTTGTTTGTTTGTTTTCATATGTATATATTTTATGAGAACTGACCTTAACATTTCGTAGAAAACCTAATGCTTGACTGGCCTTAGCACTTATAGAATTTAATTGATTGTCACATTCCAGGTTACATATTTTACGAATCTGCACTTTCTTGGATATTGCCATGAAGCTGATAGATGGATGAAGATTCGCTCTGTCGCCAGTTTAGAAACTTTAGGATAGTACATTCGTCTGAGTGTATGATTGTACAAAAGACACAAACATTAAAAGCACTTTTGAACATTTAGTGTTAAATACACTAGAGTCAAACAATGAATTAAACTGCATCATGCAGCTTTTACGTCCTGCTAGGAAACTTAACAGACAGTTCTTTTCCCAGTTATCCGGATGCGAGATCAGACAATAGTTATTGAACATCTTCCTGTGATCTCATAGTTTTGTAAATAATGGTATAATCAGCAAATATGCGGAGATTACTTACTGTCGTATATTTAGAAAGCTCTTTAATATATATTGATTAGGAGAATTGGCCCGATGACCGTTCCTTCAGGAATGCCTCATGTTGCAGGAACTGTGGATAAAGATCCAACATTTAATACAACCGATTGAGTTATGTTTCAGAGGGAAAATGAAATCCGGCTTAGTGTATTCTTTTGGATACCATAAAAGTTCAGAATATGAAGATGTGTGGAAACTCTTTCGAAAGGTTTAGTAAAGTCTAAAATGATGATATAGATCTGTTTGTTGGTAGTAATGATAAGAATATGATCAATCCTGAATGCAGGGAAATAACTGTGTTCCAAAGGATCTAGAAAACCGGAAGTCATGTTGGAGGTTGTAGAGAATGTTGCTTGTTTCTAAGTGGTGTATGATTTCACTGCTAATAAAGTGGTCACAGAAATAGGGCAGTAAGTCGATAGATTGTGTTTATCAAATTTTGTACATACATTGGACATACACGATCCGTTTGATCTGGGCAGTTTGTAGTTCTCGGAAGCTGAAGAACATGCCCTTCTGAGCTGCAATGGTTGTGTCTTAATTTGGACAAGCCACGTAAAATAGACTTGCCTCCCGCGCATAGGTCAATGATCAGTGATTTGTTCAGGGATCGTGGTGTTGTAATCGTGTCATTGGTAAGTACCTATCGTACTACTCCACAGAGGGCGCTGGTGTGGTTGTTTATCAAACGCGCGATTGAGCGTGTTCAGCTGACACTCGCTACATGCATCGATATTGAGAAACACGATTGACTTGCTGGCTTGTTACGCTGTTGCAGTGTAAGTTAGCTGATAGAAATTGTTTGTGATGGATGTATATATAGGAGACATGCTAATTGGCAGCTTATGTAGAGCTCAATTTAAGTTTTTGTTTGCGTCACTTCAGTCTACACCCCCCCCTTCTTCCTTATTCTGAATCAACTCATCTGTTGAATTCCCTTCTACATTTCAAAGTTAAACAGCTATAGAAATATGTGAATATTAACAATATCAGTCTCGTTTTTCCTCCGAAATATCGATAACACTTTGTAATTGGAAAAAAATGTGGATTTTTTATGTGACATTTCATTCGGAACTCCTTGGATTATTTCCCCGGACTCACCTTTCCGGTACTTTGGATGCTGACCACCTTCGAGAGTGCTTGACTTTGTACGAAAATATACCCAAATACACTGAATTATATTCCTTTTAAAACATTATCAGAGACTCTTTGCTTAAATCTGATCAAGGCCTCTTTGATTTGATGAAACTGAATCGATGCCTCTTTCTTTAAACCGTATGTTTGCCCCTCTGTTGCAACCCTGTCAAAGTTCAGTATAGTGTTAAATTGTACACGCTCCCTGTCAACTTCAACGGTGTATTTCAATCGGTTGTCAATCAGAATTATTTTTTGCATGTTGTTAGACATATGTATCAAGTTGCTTATAACACAGGAAAGAATAATTTTAAAAAATCTCAACGAAATGCCGGGCACTCACTCCTACGTGGTAGTTCAGTGTTACTTGTGCACGCTCCGCAACAACATCAATGGTATATTTCAAAACTTACTGGTCCGGTCAATCCCAATGATTTTTGCTTGCTGCTAGACATTGATATAAAGTATATAATACGAATACAATTATTTTAAAATCTTGATTGGTGAACTGCTGGGCGCCAAATATGTCCCAGGACACTCACAAGACATTCATTTCTCCCAGGACACTCGTGAGGAACACCCAACTTTGTCAGGGCCTCTTTGTTTTATAGGTATGTGAACTCCAACAAGATGAGCACAGGCCAGTCACAAACCAGACACAAAGTGTTCCCACCTCAACGCATGCACACAAGGTCGAGATCAAATGTCAACCCAGAATCTTCTGCAGGTTCAAAGGCTGTCAAATCAGATGTCAATTTCAATTCACAGAGGGAAGGGAAAGGAATAGATGGTAATGACACAAATAGTAAGATATTTTTTTGTATTCATTGTGTTGACCATAAGTTAGTGCTTAAAATCTGACCTATGTTTCTAGTGTTCTTAATTCATCTGAATTAACTATAGTCCAAATTATTCTAACGTACAATAGACTTTTATATATCAGCCTGGAGACAATGAACATCAGAACTCTGGCCCTCTACAAAGTGAGGGGAATTAAGCGACCAATGGCTGGGTAGGTATTCAAACAATAATTGTGGAAAGAAATTGTCATTTTAACATGTATATTACACATGGATTGAAAGGTCTGATCTATAGACAAGCCGATACTGCTGTCATATTTTAAATTTCAGTGCAAACATACACTTTAATATTTTTTTCTTTTTCTACCCATATTGTGATGGAAATTTGAGCAGAAACTCAACCATTTGACTTATTGAGATCCCACGATACCCAAGGTATTTCCCAAAAATTAGAAGTATATTATTACAAAATAACCCAAACAAATATAAACACACGCTTTCAGCTTAATTTTACTTATGAAAATAGATATTTTTAGATAACATTCAGCGTTTTTTAATGTTAAATCAATTAATTCTGTTATCATCTTGATATATGGCTCCATCTTTTATACAAATGACACAGAAGTGAAGTGGAAGAAGGAGAAAAAAAAACTTTTTGTTTACAATATTGTCTGAAGGTTTGTACAAGCGCACAAAGTGGCGAGACTATAGGCATGTGACTAGAGGAGTCATGGCTAACATAAATGTAAACTAAAACAGAATAAGTTGGGGAAATTTTTAACAATATGTTGGCATTATCATATGCCCTGTTTGAAAATGTTGACCATTCAATCCATGTGCAATATGCATGTGAAAATTTCTGCTAACAATTATCTGAATTTATTTTATTTGAATGCCAACCGAGGTGTCGGTCACTTATTTCCCTCACTGTATACAGGGCTGGAGTTCTGACATACATTGACTTGCGGCCAATATGAAAAAAAAAGTTGATAAATCACCAAAAAATGTTTGAAATACCTAAACTATAACTCTTCAATGCTTACATTTCAAAGGTTGTCAAAAGTTTGATAAAAATGCAAAATATATGGTGCCACTGCCATGTTAATATTTATGATTTTCAAAACTATTTTATGAACTCATGCTCGGTGCATTCCTAGCTTATACATTGTATTTCTGTCGGGATTTCTGCACTAAATGTTGTGTTTAATTGAAGATCAAAGAAGCAATGGTGAAAAGCTTAAAGAAGAATGAAATAAAATTTTACAAATGTCACTTTCATTAAAGGTCATTGATTACTATTCTCTATTTTCTGATGGTATAGGATTTTAAAGAAGAAAGTGTTGTTGGATTTCAGGTGTACTTTACGCATAAGATCCATACTAGAAATGTGTTATGTTTTAACTTTATCCTTGACAATTATTCTTTTTTGTGTAGGAAAGCTGTTTAGATGTGATAACTGTGGAAGTGGCTACAAAACCTTGGGCGGGCTGAGGAGACATCAGGTTACTCACATAAAACCAAAGTTATACAACTGTGGAAAATGTCCACAAGTTTTCATGCTCAAAGCTGAACTAGAACGGCATTTACAAACACATAGCAACACCTGTACACTTGGTAGTGATGGACTTTCGGTACAAAATGTAGAGTTGTTCCCAGTGTCCCTGCTAGAATGTCAATCTCAAGTAGACAAATTACAAGAGTCTCCAGTTAATGTTGACAATGATACCATGAAGAAAGCTACATCAGTTCAAAAACATGTGAAAAATTATATTGCAGAATTTCAAAAGGAACAAAAGAGCTTAGATAATGGTTTTACATTGACTGGAAATGAAAACATAAAAACAGATTATCCTGTAACGGAGGTTAAGTCTGACATACTGTTAGAACAGGTCCTGAAGCATTGTTTAAGTACAGATGAAGGTCAAAGTTCAGAGAACACTGTCAATGATTCAGGAATAAGGCAGTCGTCTACAACTCTTTGTCCTGTCAATAAAAATCAGCAATTAATGAACGCTGCAGTAGCAGAAAATGAGACTTTCATTGTGGTCGAGCATGGAAATGATATCACAGATCTGCTTCTACAAGATGACTATTTCAAACATTCAAGTCAGCCAGTTTTAAAGTCTTCAAATTCTCATATAGGAAAAGAGAAGATCAATATCAAGTCAGGAATATCACTCTTGTCAACAACACAGTTGGGCAGGACACAGATGAGCAGCAGTGTTCAGTCAGTCCTCACTAGTAAACCATTGGTCACCAGTGGTAGCACAGTCAGTACAACCATTCCAACAGTAGCCAGTGGTCACACTACCAAAACAGTCTTTCCTACAGTCACCAGTGGTCACACAGTCAGTGCAGCCATTCCTTCAGTCACAAGTGGTCACACAGTCAGTGCAGCCATTCCTTCACTCACCAATGGTCACACGGTCAATACAGCCATTCCTTCAGTCACCAATGGTCACACGGTCAGTACAGCCATTCCTTCAGTCACCAATGGTCACACAGTCAGTACAGCCATTCCTTCAGTCACCAATGGTCACACGGTCAGTAAGGCCATTCCTTCAGTCACCAATGGTCACACGGTTAGTAAAGGACTTCCTGGTAATGTTTCCAGTGGAATAACAACAATAGGCCATGTAAATGCAACACCTGGTATTCCAAATCACTTCAGTGAGGAAAAAAACAAAATGGCACAGTTGTCAGACAAACATGTTAGCATCAAATCCCATTTCTCAAAGGAAGACATTGACAAGGAAGTCACAGATGATCCTGTAAGTATGAACAAATACTTGTGTTTTAGTCATTTTCTTAGTTTCGTGGAGTGATCTGAGGTTTGTTTTTCAAGGATATATTGGAGAAGAATTGTTACAAGAGTAAGAGAAAGGTTTTACTCAGTGAAAATTTTCAAAGTCCTCTATGGTAATTAGTAAAGTGAAGACATATATAACTCTACATGTGTTATTACAACCTACCAGGTTCAATAAAAATTGGTTGATAATTAAAGGTGGTAATCAGCAGACAAGATAGAAGAGCTGAAAAAACAAAGGGCAATAATGCTTTCAAAAAAACTTGAATCAGATTACTATTCCAGAAAGTAGAATTTCAGGTCATGGTAACAAAGCCTATCTCTTTTCAAAGAAATTAGTGGGGGGAAAAAACTGAAGGATGATAAAAAACAACAAGGGCAATAACTCTTCAAACAGTTTTTTAATCAAAATTTTGTTAACAAATACAAAATTTGTCTTGTTCTTTAAACCTATCAAGCTTGTATGAGGTCAGTGAAACACTGACAGAGGTATCTGGACTACATTAAAATCATGAGAAAAACAAGAGGCAGTACTCTGTACTGATGATATTGATGGTAACTGGGGGAGATCACTGGACAAATTGAAGTATATATTTTGGTGGAATATCTATTATTCAAAGTTGAAAATGTTAGGAAGTTACCATAATAGAAATAAAATCATAATTCATAATGATAAAACCATACATGCTTATGTTTGATAATTCAAAATATCAGTTTGATATTAATCTCATAAAGGAATAAACTCAATTGAAATCGAATGTATTTGCTCAAATCAATCTTTTTCTTACAGAAATTGACTTTTGATCTTCAAATTATTAGCATAGATTACTTGGAAGGTCACCTTAATGTCAAAGCTTGGCTTATTTCAGGTTCTTGGTTTGGTGTCTGGGTTGGTCAAATTCTGTCCAGATTTGAGCGAAACCGATTACACAGAAGTTGCCAAAGTAACCGGTGTTACAGTCATTATGCTGGACAAACAGAAAATTGTTGTCCATGGTTCCTGGAAAGCTCTCAACCGAGCTTACTCAATGATAGAGGTGAGTGCAAGTATTTATTCAAAATGTTTATGTAACATTTGAAAAAAAGTGTTATTTTAACAAAAACTTTGACGAAGAAAACCAAACTTTTGACTGGATTACTTCCATCACTTCTCTGTTATATTGAAGTCTTGGAAGTGAGTATATATCTGATGATAATTTTTCATTTAAAAGTGTCTTTTAAAAAAATATCTGATCATACCTACAAATCCTTCCTATTCAGTTGATGACAGTTGGGATGACCGATGTTGACAGAAATTTTAGACATTGTTTACCAGCAAATCTTCTTAATTTGACATAGTATTAGCTCACCTGTGAGACCAGTTTGAAGAATTATTGGGTTGAACGTATATTTTGTTCAGAAGGTTTATAAATGCACTGACAATGTAAATGTCTGAACTGTTTTAGTGTTTGCCGTGGAAATTACAGAAATTTGACAAGTATTGTAGGAATAGATGAGATCAATATATACAACCACAAGGCTTATATTTTCAGAAAAATGTTGAAGCGATCTTTGAATCATATACATACATTATCTAGTACAAAGTGTTAGATACATCTCTGCAAATTGTAAAGCACACATAAAGACCAAACATACTGGGAAATCTTCAAATGAACATGTATATGATATGATCAAAAGTTCATCATTAAAAGGGTGTTGGTTTTGATTTCAGAATTTACAAGTGGAGGCTAAAAAGGAAAGGACATTGTCATCTTCCCAAGAATGTTTTACTGTGACTACCCCTTTGGAATGTGTTGCAGTTACCTCCCCTGTGGAACATGTCACAGTTAGCTCCCCTGTGGAGTGTGTTACGGTTACAGCTTCTTTGGAGTGTGATATCGAAGATCAGCTGAAACAAAGTAAGAAATGAGATATTTATTTTTAAGATTTCAAATTTACACCAGAATTCATTTAAATATTTTATTTCCACTTTTTTAATGAACTTTTATGATATTTTTTTTCTTGTCTAATCCTGTAGATGGTGTAGAAGCTGGTGTTATGACTGTTGACGATTCTGATCCTGAAGCTACCATAGACACTAGCAACTCTGTCGACATGGATAATTTAGCTCCAATTTCCATGATGGAACCAGACTCTTTCCTGTGTGACAAGTGTTCCAAACAGTTCTGGAGTAGACGTTCCCTTCAGGAACACATTGCCTTACGTCACAGTGAACACAAGTGTAAATTGTGCAACAAAGTTTTCAGCGAACGTCGATATCTTCAGACACACCTGAAGCGACATGCAAACATCCGTAACTATACATGTTCTGTTTGTGGGTGGCAGTTTATGGAACGTTTCAAGATGAAGTTACACATGGAGTCACACAAAGAACGAAAAGATCGTCGTTTGCCATACAAATGTAGTATGTGTGGTAATCAGTTCTATAACCGGGCCAGTTGGACAGACCACCTCAATACACATACAGGTAAGTCCCTTTTCTTTTGTTACTATTTTTGTTCTTTAAATGTGGAAGTATGAGAGTGTTCTTCTTGTAGAAGGAAACAGGAGTACCCAGGGAAACCCAAGTTGTCAAGCTGATGACACCCGTACCTTTCACGCCCAATTGGGAAATCAAACCACAAATATCTACATGAAGGACGAGTGCCTTACCACTAAGCCACCGGACCACCCTAATCTATCACCTGAAAATAAGTGACAGGTTTGGTCCTGTATCAAATGAAAGAACATTTAATACCATTAGTTGTTTCAAAATTAACATTGTTGTAAACACTTGGGTTTTCATTCTTTATCATTCACACTAGTGAACATGATTGAACTTCACACAAAATAACACAAGTTAAATGACATGCTATATGACAAGATCTTTGTTGATATGGGGGTTAGAAGTCAAGGTCACACTGAAGCATCATAAATTAGAATTTCTCCTATTTTGGCCAGATGTAAAATTGAAAAAGATCAAGAATTCTAGTCATCTAATAGTGATTATTTTTCATATATGATAAGTTCAGAAATAACAATGTAAAGGTGCCCAGAATTTTGGTACCTCAGAGGGAAATTATTGTTATATGGTTGTCAAACTGAAACCCAGTCTTCGATACCAACAGAGAAATACCAACTCATTTTGAGTTTGTTGGGATTGACTCTAGTTTGTCCCTATTCATCATTGACTCTGCGTACTGGGTGGTATTTATCCAGGCAAAGTATTTAAGGTACCAACGAACATTATGTAACAGCTTTGACTCTACCTTGGATGTCATGTGATGAAATTCATACCATGTAATGTATGGGGTGTTGGTATTGTGATTCGTTCCGGAGAATTTGTAGCAGAAATGGAATAAATAGCACAGATGATTATCAAAAGCATTTGTCAACAGTTTGGAACTATGGAAGTCTAGCTGTTGAATTCTCATTTATTTATATCATTGGTTTGTTAATTGTAGCTTGTGTACTTTTGAATTCAAGTTTGCTTCTATATTGATAAAATTTAATATGAATATTCTGTTTTCAGGTAATCGTCCATATACTTGTATGCTGTGCAACAATTCCTTTGCTCATCGTATTGGCCTAAAGCGGCATATGATGACACATATAAAGGAAAAACCCTACAAATGTGGACAATGTGATCGAAGTTTTTCCTTCAGGTAAAATCAGATATGCAGTCAAACCTTGTTACATCCAAGTCATATAACCAAAGACCCTGTTTGATTTGAAGCATTTCGTTGGTCCATGCCTAACTTGACACAAAACATTCAAACTCACTTCATTTGAATACTCTGCTATCACAAAGTTTTCCTTCAGTTCCCTTTAAGTTCAAGATAATGAGGTTCAGTGTATTTTTTTTCGTCAAAAGAACATTTGTCCTGAAGCATTTACAGAGATTTTTCTGTCTACCTCATAATATTGCTTATGTATGGGAAGTTGGTGTATATGTCTCCACCATATGAGAACAGATGTGATAATAGAGTATGTGTTGTTAAAAGAATAGGTAATTAATCAGTGAAGGAACTCACCATAATTTGGAATGAACCATCAATGCCCATTGTTCAAGAGAGGGTCATGTTGTATAATGGACGATGATAGCATTCTCTTGGTTGCTCCTTCAGGTACAGTGATGTTTCCCATCTAGGTAAACTCATGTTTCTCTATAGGTGAACTAATGTTGCCCCTTCAGTTGCACTTATTTATCCCCTCTAGATAAACTATGGTTCTCCCTTCAGGTACACTAATATTTCCCCTATAGATAAACTATAGTTCTCCCCCTTCAGGTACACTGATGTTTCCCCTATAGATAAACTAAAGTTCTTTCTTCAGGTACACTAATGTTTCCCCTATAGATAAACTATGGTTCTCCCTTCAGGGACACTAATGTTTTCTCTATAGATAAACTATAGTTCTCCCTTCAGGTACACTAATGTTACCTCTATAGATAAACTATAGTTCTCCCTTCAGGTACACTAATGTTTTCTCTATAGATAAACTATAGTTCTCCCTTCAGGTACACTAATGTTTACCCTATAGATAAACTATAGTTCTCCCTTCAGGGACACTAATGTTTCACCTATAGATAAACTATAGTTCTCCCTTCAGAGACACTAATGTTTCCCCTATAGATAAACTATAGTTCTCCCTTCAGGGACACTAATGTTTCACCTATAGATAAACTATAGTTCTCCCTTCAGAGACACTAATGTTTCCCCTATAGATAAACTATAGTTCTCCCTTCAGGGACACTAATGTTTCCCCTATAGATAAACTATAGTTCTCCCTTCAGGTACACTTATGTTTCCTCTATAGATAAACTATAGTTCTCCCTTTAGGTACACTAATGTTTACCCTATAGATAAACAATAGTTCTCATTCAGGTACACTTATGTTTCCTCTATAGATAAACTATAGTTCTCCCTTCAGGTACACTAATGTTTACCCTATAGATAAACAATAGTTCTCCCTTCAGGTACACTAATGTTTACCCTATAGATAAACAATAGTTCTCCCTTCAGGTACACTAATGTTTACCCTATAGATAAACTATAGTTCTCCCTTCAGGTACACTAATGTTTACCCTATAGATAAACTATAGTTCTCCCTTCAGGTACACTAATGTTTCCTCTATAGATAAACTATTGTTCTCCCTTCAGGTACACTGATGTTTACCCTATAGATAAACTATAGTTCTCCCTTCAGGTACACTAATGTTTCCTCTATAGATAAACTATACTTCTCCCTTCAGGTACACTAATGTTTTCTCTATAGATAAACTATAGTTCTCCCTTCAGGTACACTAATGTTTCCTCTATAGATAAACTATAGTTCTCCCTTCAGGTACACTAATGTTTCCCATTTAGATAAACAATACTTCTCCCTTCAGATACACTAATGTTACCTCTATAGATAAACTGTTGTTCTCCCATCAGGTACACTAATGTTTTCTCTATAGATAAACTATAGTTCTCCCTTCAGGTACACTAATGTTTCCTCTATAGATAAACTATAGTTCTCCCTTCAGGTACACTAATGTTTCCTCTATAGATAAACTATAGTTCTCCCTTCAGGTACACTAATGTTTCCTCTATAGATAAACTGTTGTTCTCCCTTCAGGTACACTAATGTTTCCCCTATAGATAAACTATAGTTCTCCCTTCAGGTACACTAATGTTTCCTCTATAGATAAACTATAGTTCTCCCTTCAGGTACACTAATGTTTCCTCTATAGATAAACTGTTGTTCTCCCTTCAGGTACACTAATGTTTCCTCTATAGATAAACTGTTGTTCTCCCTTCAGGTACACTAATGTTTCCTCTATAGATAAACTATTGTTCTCCCTTCAGGTACACTAATGTTTCCTCTATAGATAAACTATTGTTCTCCCTTCAGGTACACTAATGTTTCCTCTATAGATAAACTGTAGTCCTCCCTTCAGGTACACTAATGTTTACCCTATAGATAAACTGTTGTTCTCCCTTCTGGTACACTAATGTTTCCTCTATAGATAAACTATTGTTCTCCCTTCAGGTACACTAATGTTTCCCCTAAAAGTAAATTATGGATCTCTTATTAGATACACTAATGTTTCCTCTACATGTATAAATAAGGTGTCCTTTAAAGTAAATGAATTGTTCCTAAACGTTGTAACTAAGGAAGTCCTTGCATATAATTATTTTAGGTCCCCTCTTCATAAACTTTCTTTATACTAATCTTCTCTTCACTTGAGTCTCCACTAAAGGTACAATGTTTTCATCCTTTGTTAGATATCTATATTTGTGATTGTGTTTGCAGGAGTAAATTGACTGACCACATGACCATGCATACAGGGATTAGTAAGCACAAGTGTTCACATTGTGGCAGGAGCTTCACAGCATCGTCATCACTACGACGTCACATGGAGCAGTGCACCACCCCTCCTACACCTCCAGAACCTGAGATTAGTGAGACTGTTGACATGGAGATGACAGTTGATGTGATCCAGGCAACAGACTCTGACACAATCTTCATGTGTGGTATATGTGGGGAAACATTTGACTCACTGATCAAAGCAGAAAAACACACTGTTGATCATGAACAAGGTGTTCCCATTGTAGGAGAAAAGGCTATCGTGGTTCAGGACAATCAGGAAGTGGTCTTTACAGACGAAGTTGCTATACTCAGTGAACCTCAGCAGTCATAGTAATGGAAAAACTAATTAACCTGTTATTGTACCTTAAACCTGTTATTGTACCACAGTAACCTACCAACATAAAAATTGGTAAACCATTGCCAAAGAAACAAAAATTGGCCTGGTCCATCTTTTTATGCAAATTTCAAGTAAATGCCAAGCTTCATTTTAAATTTGAGAGGTTCTTCATGTCAAAAGGTAATTTCATATCATTGGACTTTGGGTCAGATATCTTACCTAGAAACTGTCTAAGGCCTGCATACTTCAGCTAAATTTTCTTAAGGAATGAAGTTTGAACACCTGATGTGACTGAATCAATGATTTTTTATAAATAGTGTGGCCTATATTACCTCAGGGGAACATCTGAGTTGCATGGTTTGACACTACCTACCCATGATGGTTTGCGTTTCATACAAAGCTGAGAAAGGAACTGGTCTGTACTGACGTGGTTGTGTCTTTTAGCAAAACACTTTACTGTTTGCTCCACATGGGATGCAATGGTCCTCCATTATTATGTTCAATGTGGTAGCCAAGAGTGAAAGCAGACTCAAAGTTACTCTTGCAGTTCATGGGGCTATAAGCCCAGTAAACAAGCATCAAAGGTATTAACACACTTACTTGTCCTACGTTTCAACCAAAATCCCTAACATTGTCAACTAGATATACACTTTCATTCAGGACAGGCGCAGCATACAAATATAACTAATAAACCAAGCATGTACTGATACCAAGGTTTTATAACATTAGAATTAATATTACTGAATTTCAAAGGGGGCATAACTACGTCTCTTTCAAGAAATGTATAGCAGAATGTACAGTAACGGTTAAGTACCTAAGGTTCTGATCGTAGGTATCAAGTTATATAATACAATAAGCTGAGAATAAATGTTAGCAAGCAATACATGACTTCCAATAGAAAAAAAATTGACCAGGATACATTAAAACATGACTAACAAATGCCAAAAACAATATTTTACTTGTTTGGTTATCTTTGAGTGACTTTCCTTTAAGATTTCTCTGAATATATCAGAAATTCTGTAAAACAGTACCAGGTTTTTTTAATTGTTATGTTTCCATTATTGAATAAATTTGTTGCCAAGTGATGTGTCTTCACAATTTTTTTATATGCACTTAACTAAGGTAATGAAGGTATATACCATGTGTACCCATCTGATAACATTATGAATAAGATATTTCACGACCACCAAAATCTAGTCTGGTGTAGACCCGAGTGGAATAATGCAATGTTGTGAATATTAAATGTTCAGTTGTTCATGAGCTATGATCCTCACAATCTTTTTAATTTTCTAAGTGGTCAATGGTAACTTTTGACCTTTTAACCTTGACCTGTAATTACCAGAATCTTGTCAGGTGAAGACTTTGTTGAGGCGATATGAGAGATCTTCTACATATGATATCACATCTGCACAAAGTGATTACTATATACATTACGGGTAAATGTGCTAATACAAATGAGTCAGGAATGTGATTTATTTGATAAACTTTGTAAAGGAAGCATTCCCTAAATCACTAGTAAATACTTATTTAATTCATACTTGCTTTGAATGGAAAAAACTAGTCACACATCTTATCAGAGAAGTGATCCCTATTGGGAGTCATCTTAAAATAGCAATTCAATCAAAGTTTCAATATATTGAATACCTATGCTTGCTGGCCTTTCTTGAAAAGCATTTTTGACATACAATTGGCCTTTGTAGACAGGTATTTGTGACATACATGTGGCCTTTAGACAGGTATTTGTATACAGGTGACCTTCATAGGAAGCGATTTGAAACAAATGGTGACCTCTATAGGCAGGAATTTATAATATATAGGTGGCTATAAAAGCAGGTTGGATTACTTAAATAACAAAAAAACAATAAGTAATATTTCTCTTCTTTATTAGTACGGTGACCATGGTAACGAGACTAAGAACATTGTACTCATGGTAACGTATCAATTTCTGGTTGCCAGGGATAAAGTTTCCTTGGCTACCAAGTCTACTTTTTTTTTTAATGGCAGCAACAAGAATAATAAACATTCAAAACAAACCTGGCATTAGCATAACCTTTAAAAACCATGTTTCTCTGACTCCACATCACATCAATATCTTCAAAACTAAAGCAACGGGCCTCATTTAATTTATATATTATGCAAGAACCTGTATTAATTTTTTTTATAAAGATATGATGTTGACAAACCCAGAAATGCATAATTTTAAAAGCCCTGCTGCCAGCCTTTACAAACGATGTAAATAATTCCATCAGACATGTTAAACCAGTTTGACCATGCTTCTGCAAACTGATCATTTACAATAAATTAAGGTAAGTTCATGGAGCTTCATATCACTTTTTTTTTTCAAAATTAATTATGCTTAATAAGCAAAACATTGATGGCAAGTTTTCGAGATTTTGGTTATCATCCCAAAATCGTTTTTTATCTGTCACAATAATATTCAAATGGTCTCGACAATACTGCCTGCTAGTTATTGTCTTTTTTGCATCAATTTTTGAGAACTGAAATGTATTTTTCAATGAAATACATATGAAACGACAAAATAAATATATTTAATGACCTGATTTACATAATTGAGACAACACCAAAATCAAGTGTTGTGAACAATACACATAACACAAAGGTCAAATAAACGATGGAGCTCGTCAGTGATGACAATCTTCCCACAAGTTCAGGACTGCTCAACAGACCAAGATTTAAAACAAGAATCAGTATTACATTCTTGGGGAGTTCATAAAGCTACCTGAATATATAACACCTAACAATACCTATGTACAAGTCTGTTTAATCACAACATTCACGTTACCGAAGTCCTCTCTGTTTAACATTGAATAAATCCAGCATCAGCTTTAAAAACTACCCAGTAGTTTCAAGTAAGTACAAACATATGATAGACCCCACCAGCTTTGCATTCAAATTAACAAAATTCAGTCAGTCCATCTACTTTTCCCCATAAGATTTTTTTTCCTTTGAAGATTCTTTGAAAAGTTCATAACTTTTTCCTAGTGAAAGTGAGTTATCTCCCATTAAGCGGTTGACATTGTTGTATATGCATAAAGTTTCTTTCTTTTGGCTGAATCCAATAACTTTGTGTATATAATATATTAAATTTATACTGTGCACCAGTTGTGGATGAAAGTTAGAATCAATGACTACTGTATAAACAAAAGCAGTTTCATGAAGTTAAAAATCAATTCAAAGATCAATCTCCAACTTTTTCTCCGGTCATAACTATTTTTGTTTCTACAATTAAAGTGAAATCTACTCCTTAAGTTGACAGAACTTTAGAATTCATATTAAAAACAGCAGATCAAGCTGCACTACATATTCAGGATTTGACCCCGACAAAATTAAGACAGTGACAGGATCAACATTAAAATATTACTTCCGTGTGTTGAAGAGATATTAAATTAATCCCTTTATTATCCCACTATCTACAACACCAAAGTCTGACACCTGAGTACATCACTAATCATTATAAAACATCTGACTAATTTCGTCATTTACAACTGGATTCATAATTTGTATTGAAATACCGTTTAACATGAATTACAGGGTTGCCATTTTTAAAACCTTGCCACAAGAAGATGTATGCTACCAAACCAATTTTTTCTTGTTTTTATACATTAAGCTTCACAGCATTAAAAAGCAAATGAAAATGAATGAATGAGATGATTATATACATATGGTTGTAGAATTAAAACAGTGCTCTGGACCACACACAGCTGTATATATCTACTAATGCTTTGCAGTTCCGATGATTTTACCAAGGAATTTCAACTGTCTGTTACATCACATTAAACGCAGGTCACTCGTCAATACATATGACCGATTTTCCGTTGAGTTTTCCTGTTGCTTCTGATCCACTTTTACCGTCTGATTTCTGGGATAGATCCGAGACTTTACTTTGGTTTGCTGTAAATAAACAAGATACAGTTCTTTAGAATGGTAGTAAAATACTTTCTTTATTAGGCAGGTGAATGTTTTAAATTGTGACCATCAACTGAATGAGAGTTGAGGTGTTTTAGAAATTTGTGAAGCCATTTTCTTCATAGTATAAGTACAGACTTCCTCTATTAGTCCCTCTGAGTATTCTTCCAGTAACTTGTCAAATACAGACATACCAAAAATACCTATGATCACAGGTATCAGATATCCTCTTAAATCAGACCAAACTGCTGTGGCTAATTTAACTTAAACAGTTTCATCTTAATAATGTCAAGAGTCATGATCAACAGTTTCATCTTCCATTTTATGTCCAAACTGAAGTCAAACCAGACAGGTTACTTGTCCAAATTGATGTCAAATAAGACGGATTATTTGTTAAACTGATGTCAGACAAGACAGTTGATTTGTCAAACTGATGTCAGATAAGACAGGTAATTTGTACATAATGATGTCAGACAAGACAGGTTATTTGTCCAAACTGATGTCAGATAAGACAGGTTATTTGTCTAAATTGATGTCAGACAGTTGATTTGTCCATAATGATGTCAGACAATACAGGTTATTTATCCAAATTGATGTCAAATAAGATGGATTATTTGTCTAACTGATGTCAGATAAGACAGGTTATTTGTACATAATGATGTCAGACAAGACAGGTTATTTGTCCAAACTGATGTCAGATAAGACAGGTTATTTGTCCAAATTGAGGTCAGATAAGACAGGTTATTTGTCCACACTGATGTCAGATAAGACAGGTTATTTGTCCACACTGATGTCAGATAAGACAGGTTATTTGTCCAAATGGAGGTCAGATAAGACAGGTTATTTATCCAAACTGATGTCAGATAAGACAGGTTATTTATCCAAATTGATGTCAGACAAGACAGGTTATTTGTCCAAACCGATGTCAGATTACACAGGTTGATCTCATTTACTAGTGATGTCCTGTAGGTCTTATCCAATGAAACTGCCTGTTGTTTTTGATAAGATTCTAAAATAAATCCTGATTATATATTCATAATGTAGTGTATGATATAGTACTATGTTTGCTCAGATCCATTTAAGCCATATGAACTGTCATTTACAGCTTAGAGAAAAAACATGACTTCAGATTGGACTTGAAACTTTCAACATAAATATTAATAACTCTTTTTAAAAGGCAAAATAAAATTATCAAATAAATTTAAGGTGTTTTGTTTGGTGTAAGATGGTTTAACATTCAACTATCAGAGGGATTTCACACAAATCTAACTACATTGGCACTATATTGATTTTTACACTTAAATTAATACATATTTCAGTGATCAACTATTTTCTCAACATTAAATCTTAAGCTCATAATATATTATTGTTATGTTACATAAAAAAAAGTAAAATTGAATTTTAGAACAAAGAAATTGCATGCAGCTAAGCCAAGGTTATCCACTGATAAACGTGTCAATGTTTTAACATCTGGTAATAGAAAACATTATCATAAGTCCACTGAAATCTGACATACTGTAGTGCTCTAAACTGATGTTGTTACACGGTACTATGTCCACCACATGGCATACAGAAAGGCAGATTCTTTTCAACAAAATACTACAAGAGCATGTCTTTCTCCTTCACCAGGGTCACACCAAGTGACAATGAAATACTTGTATTATCAAGAGTGTTAAGTATAAGTCTAATCCTGCACAACCCACTAACCCTATACAACCAAATAACCCTATACAATCCACTGACCCTGTATGATCTACTAAAACTTTACAATCCACTTACCCTAAACAACCCACTAACTCTGTATACTGCAACAACCCTTAACAATCCAGTAACCCTAAACAATCCAGAAACCCTATACAATACCAGTAACCCTAAACAATCCAATAACCCATACAATCCACTAACCCTGTATACAGTAATCCAATAACCCATACAATCCACTAACCCTGTATACAGTAATCCAATAACCCATACAATCCACTAACCCTGTATACACTAATCCAATAACCCATACAATCCACTAACCCTGTATACAGTAATCCAATAACCCGTACAATCCACTTACCCTGTATACAGTAATCCAATAACCCGTACAATCCACTTACCCTGTATACAGTAATCCAATAACCCGTACAATCCACTAACCCTGTATACAGTAATCCAATAACCTGTACAATCCAATAACCCGTACAATCCACTAACCCTGTATACAGTAATCCAATAACCTGTACAATCCACTAACCCTGTATACAGTAATCCAATAACCCATACAATCCACTAACCCTGTATTCAGTAATCCAATAACCCATACAATCCACTAACCGTCTTCAACTATTTACCCTTTATAATGTACACAATTTGTATCATTTACTTACTGTGATAATATCAGTACTTCATTGTCCCCTATCCTTTATAATCCAGTAATTCTAATTATTTATTAATGATGTGAGTCCAATAACCCGTATCCAATAACCCATACAATCCACTTACCCTGTATACAGTATTCCAATAACCCATAAAATCCACTTACCCTGTATACAGTAATCCAATAACCCATACAATCCACTTACCCTGTGTGCGACATGATAATCAAATCTTGTATAATCCATTCATCTCACATAATCAATTAATACTGTCTAATTGACTTATTTGATTAATTAATCCAGTATAATCCATTAATCTAACATAATCAATACTGTATAATCCACCTATTTAATCCATTAATCCTGTGAAATCCATTAATCCTGTATTGTCCACTTATCCCTACATAATTAATGCATAAAAATCAATCCGTAGAATTTTTTTCCCCAATTTCTTTTATGAACTTTTAGTATGTCTTCATACAATATCCAGGTATTACTTTTTCAGATCAATAAAAAACAAAGTATTTAATAAGTTACATAGTTAAAATTAAAAGCTACAAACACATACAACAAAACAAGTTCACAACAAACAAGGCATCTGATCTGTTCATAGGTAAACAAGCAAAAATTTGAGAAAATTTGCCTCGTTCTTTGTCAACAGTAAACAAAGAGTTTCTTCAAAATCTTATTCAAATTAAGACCACGCAATGAAACATAAAATTCATAAATGCTTAAAACCCATTTGTTCCATTCAAAACCATAGGCAGTAGTAATGAAGGCTCACAATATCACTTTGACGATACAATGATTCCAACTATTTTCAAAACTGACTCGATTATTGTTATCATTTACTTCTAATAAGGAGATGTTTACTTAATTATAATTCTGTGATGACTGAAAAAAACTACCATGAAGAAAAATATATATATGTATATTTAAAAATAAAAAAGAGACAAGTATTTTTGTAGTAGCTGTAGGATTAAAATTACAACAAGGCAACTAAAAACACAATGCAGTACACTCTATCTAGATCAAATAAAGCTACAAATGAAATGGATCACTGTTTATCACATCACTACTGGAGGTATAAAATCAATACATAAAATAAATTTCCGAAGCAAAAATGAAAAAAAAAAGATGGACTGATACTGCTTTCATTCACAATAAAACAACCATTCATGGGATCTGCAGTAGCAATGGTAGGACTGAGCACTTTAAACTTGTCTACAAACAGTTCTGGGTGACAGAACCAGCTCTGGTCACTAATAGAATCATATGTATTCATTACAGTTTGTTGACTGCTAGCAGTTTCTTGAGGTTTAAAAACAAATCAAAGATCAATACATGGTACCTTAGAACATATCAAAAAAGTGAATATTTGGAGTTTTCCGACCTAAATGAACCCTGGGCCTATTTTTAAAGAATGTTACCTTTTATTTTTCATTTAAACAGCACACTAATCTTTAAAATAGATAAAATTATGTTTTTAATCAATATGAAGAATGCACAACAAGAACCCCTGCTTCTTCCTCATAATGTGTGAGGGGAAAACATACCTTTAAAATTTTTAGCTAACAATCAAATCAAACAACGGTAAAATCAAGAGATTCTATTGGGATCCAGGCACTCATCATTGTTTGATCTTTATTTGTGATTTAAAAGTTGAATTTTTTCCATTCTTTTATCTTTTTCACCTCTCTTCGCTTTTAATTACTTGAAATTTTAAAATTCCTCTAAGAAATAGCGATAATATTCTTTAATTTCTAAATCCAAGATGTTTGTCTGTATGCCATTTTTGTTTTTGTAATTAGTCATAAAATCAAAAAGGCACAACTAGGGACTAAGAGGAAATAGCAATAACAAACTTTCATTTTAAAAATCCAAAAAGGCCATGTTTTTATCTCATCAGTCAAAAAAATCAAAAAGGCACAACCAGAGACCAAAGGGTACCTACATATGAAATTTGAGAGATATCAATCCAATATTCAGTTTCTTTAGGATTTCACATTTGCAAAATAGTTTTAAAAAGTTTTTGGAATGGACTAACTACAGATACTAAATTTTCATAACTTTTTTTTCTTTTTTCTTTTAAAAGAAAATTGAAATTCAAATCTGTTCAACTAATTTGATAAACCAAATAACTGTATCAATTAGCCCAAGGAAAACTGGCTCCAAGCAAAGAAAACAAACTGCAATGAAATACACTGAATCCATGTAAGGAGGAGACATCCAGCAGCGCATGCAGATAACAAGTTGACGTGCCTTTATTTAGAGGGCATACTCTGACCAAGCAGCGTCTCCATAGCTGACTTAGAGAGTGCCTCGCTGGATACTTGCCAGGAAAAAGGCTCCGAGAGACCACCAAGGAAAGGCGGCTGATCGAAGGGTGGTGGCCCTACGTAACCAAGCATTCATACATGAGTACACATGTACTGTCAACTTCAGAAAAGTTTATCCTTCTACTGAGTTCCCAACTATATCACACATACAGTGTATAAATACAAGTAGCTTCAAATAAAATAGGTGTATGTTTCCAACCCCCCAATCATTTTAAAACAATCAGCAATAATCTTTTTCCTCTTTTTTTTTTTATTGTCAACTGCATTATCAACTTAGTTGTACGTTCCAATGAAAACCTGTTCCAACAAATAGGCAGGCTAGGCTTATATAACATGGAATGGTAATTTTGGGTATGGCACAAGGGGAATTCCACATTTGGTGATGTTGAGATATAGAACGAGGAATTTCAGCTACAAATTTCATTAAAGTGATAACATCTTAAAATTTCACAATGAAGTAAAAACAGTAGAAAAATCTTTGTGAAGTAAAAAAAAAGACATATATGGTCTTAGATTTTGAGTGGTGAATTCTGGGACAGAATATGAATCTGGGATTAGGAAATGGGCTGAAGGTGACCTGGATAATTAATCTTTTGTAGAGGCTGGCGAGTGGTGTTAGAGAGCAAGAAGTAGGGTGAAAGTGACCTGGTAACTTACCTAGTACAGAGACTGGGACTGGTGTGTGGGAATAGGAAGTGGGGTTGTAGGTGACTGATTAACTTACCATTGTGAGGCTGGAGAGTGGTGTTAGGGAGCAAGAAGTGGGGTAGTAGGTGTCAGAATAACTTACCATTGTGAGGCTGGAGAGTGGTGTTAGGGAGCAAGAAGTGGGGTTGTAGGTGTCAGAATAACTTACCATTGTGAGGCTGGGGAGTGGTGTTAGGGAGCAAGAAGTGGGGTTGTAGGTGACTGATTAACTTACCATTGTGAGGCTGGGGAGTGGTGTTAGGGAGCAAGAAATAGGGTTGTAGGTGACCAGGTAACTTACCTAGCATAGAGGCTGGGACTAGTGTGTAGGAATAGAAAGTAGGGTTGTAGGTGACCAGATAACTTACCTGGTGTAAGATTTTGGAGAGAATTGGTTTGGGGGTTGTTAAAGTGGGGCTGAAAATGACCAGAATTGCTTACCTGGTGTAGAAGCTGGGGACCGATGTGAGGGACTAGGAAGTGGGGCTGACTGTAGCTGTTTGATGCTCTGTGTAAGGGATACTGGTATCTGGCCTGCAAAAGAATATAATGCCATCACAGATTTTTGTTTTTACATGGTTTACATATTTTAAGACATGCAGTACGTTATCTAACTTCAAAGAGATTATAACTTCATCAAGTGTATCAATACCACTGGACAGAGTTGCCTCCCCTTCATAAATACACATGTAAGGATGAAGTTTGACATGCCCTTTATGATAAAATATTTTCCCAACTCACCACGAGTTAACAATAATGCTAAGACCTGTAGGTCAAGAATGCCATCTGAACATGCCACTATGGGCCAATACTGAACAGGGACAAGGAGGCCTATGGTCACATCTAGAACCAGGTCTTTTAACAGAGTATAGCTGAATCAACTTTCACAGTACAGAATGTTATCATCACTTCATATGTATATGAAGATCACTAAATCAACCTATTTTCAGAATAATTTTATCGCCATCTCATCACACTACTTTCCACCAAAGTGGAGATAAGATTATACTACAACTGAAAAGTTCCATGAGTTTACTACCATATAGTATAATATACCCGAGTGTAAATATGCTTTGCAGTGGTCCTTTTTCTGATGAAGATGACAGAGTAGTCATCAAAATGTCACACATCAATTTTCTCACTGGTTGTGATATAAGAACATCTATTCAAATGATTAATGTAAGCTGACCTGCCCACCCATAAATTTTAAAGCAAGTACTTTCTTTGAACAGATTGCCTTCCACCAAAGCAAACTACAAAAAAGTGATCGTAACTCTAGGCTTTTTACGTCTTGTAAACGGAAAAAGTGAAAGACAAATGAAAATTGCTGCATTATCACAACCTCAAGGCATTTGTACCAACAGAACTAAAAATCATGATTGAAACTGAAAATGAAGTTTACTATCATGAAAAAACTTATGTTTTAAACATAACCACAAAATATAAATAGCACATATTCAGATGTGTCGAGAATTTAGCAGTTGTGCATCTCCACCAAGACTTGGTCATACACAGTGAAACCTGTCTAAACTAGATCTTCAGTTGCACTGCATTAATTATCATAATGTCAAACAAGTCTGCAGTAGATGGAAAAAGTTTGGTTAGAAATACTGCATTAATTATCATCATGTCAAACGAATCTGCAGTAGATGGAAAAAGTTTGGTTAGAAATACTGAATTCCACAGTGCTTGGTTTAGATAGATTTCACTATAACATGCAAATTCTACAGGAAAACAAACTCCCACATTATCAACTAAACACAGACAAAAGCACTTGATCTTGCCATCTTGAATCTTCAGCCTCAACAAAGGGAAATCAATAAAGCAACAACAATAGCCAAAATGAAAGTAGATTTGGTTTCATAAATTGCGATTTACGGAGAACAATGCTGCGCTGTCGTCAATCAACCAATCAAAATAGTGCCCTCCTCCATTCCCGACAAATAATAAAAAAATATTTTTAAAGAGGTAGAATACCAATCTTTTCTTTTCTTCTTTTCACAATTTTTCCCTCCACGCCATTGACAGTTCAAAATAAATTAAAAAAGATTCCAGATATAGATTGCATTTCATGAATTTGTACTTCAAAATAACCATCAGGTTTTCATTTTTCATTTCAACAAATTTTATTGACAAGATGTAAACGTCAAACTGGATTGAATAACAGGCAAAGCCTATGTAAATTCTCTCCAAAACTATCACGTTTTCAATTTTGTTAATTCCCAATTTAAAGCATAGTAATCGAAGCATGTTTTCCAAAAAGAAAAAAAAAACATAAAACCAACAGTACACTGACAATTAAATGAAGCAACCAAAACAATGGCTCTGATGTCAGTACGAAGCAGCAATTCATTTATAATATCCGCACACATGCTGCGATACCACGAGCAAATTTATGTGTTGCTTTGTCCTGATTGGCTGGCCAGGCTCTGTAACCGTGGCCCTAGACATACCGCTCTGACTCAAGATGGCTGACATTGTTGTGCTTAAATCGTGCTGCCCCGGAAGGTTGGGGAGCAACGGAAATCCTAGTGGCCCTGTAAAGCAACAGTAGGGGTCAAGGTCAAAAGTAGAAATAGTTTTCAATGGCGTAGGTTGAGGATCTGAAGAAGAAATAGATCATAAATTTTCCATTTATTAGGTGAAGGTCTGGTCAGAAGTGAAAACAGCTGTCAAAGAGGGTCAAAATGGAGTAGAACTTCAGAAATTTATTCTAATGAAGAAAGCACAGTGCAAAGTGAATTCAAAAGTCATATATGTTATTGGTTAGGTAAGTGGTCAAGGATACATTACTAAGGTTTTACTGGAAAAGGTGAAAGATGGAAGTGAAAAGAAATTTTGATGTTGAATATGCAATTTCAAGACCAAATTATGTAAGATTTTAATGGGGATGATACCAGTTCAATGCAAAGTTAAAGATTTTAATGGGGAAGATGTAAGTCAAGGGCCAAGATATAGATTTTAATGGGGAAGATGTAAGGTCAAGGCCATATGAAAGATGAGATAGGTATCAGAAAGAATCCAAGAAGTATTCGCATTGTCTAACAGGAAAAGATACCATATCATAACAAGGGATTGTATATCTATTTGAAACAAAACCAAACACTTAAAAAAATGACATTAGTTCATTTCCTTGTGGAAAATCTGTAAAACAATCACTGGGACATACATATCCTTGACGATATGCTTGTCCACCTGGGGACTTAAATCATTATCGTAAATTCCTGGCTAAATAAATACCCATGCTGCATCAACAACATCAGATCAGAGTTAAGTATTCCAAATGTAATGATTTGACAAAATCAACACTTTTTAATCAGATGTTGAAATAAATGTATATTCATGTGAAAAATATTGTATATAAAACATGATACAAAAACTTGTATCCCAGAATAACATCTACACATTTAAATTGTTATTAACTCTTGGTTTCTAATCATCATTTTTGTGGCATTTTTGTCTTTCTTTTTTTAATGTTATCTTTACTGATATTTTCAAAGATATTTTTAGATATTTCACTTTGTCCACAAATTTAATTTTCATGCATTTTCTAGCAGAGTAGTATTTGCAATGATTTTTTTTCACACAAAGTATATGGTCATGTTTCCAAGCATTCTTAAAAAATAATTCCAGCAGCTTAATGGAAGACCACTATTCCTTGCTTACCTGGGGCAAAAGGAGACTGTGTCAGACCGAACTGCGGCCGAAATCCTGGTGGGAAGTTAGCGTAGGCGCCGGCTAGAGATGCTGGAACACCTAGGAATGATGCCTGCGACACAGACGGCGTGGCTGCTGGTGAAGATGTGCCTGATGGTGTAGCAACAGGGCTAGCAGCCACCACTGGGGCAGAGCCTCCTATGCTACCAGAGGCAGATGTAACCTGGGAACCAGGATTGACTAAACGACTAAGAATGCTGCGCTCAGACATGGCCAATCGTTGGCTTACTGGTGGAATCCTTGCCAGTGTTGCTGGCAGACGACTCACATCCTGTTTCATGTCGCTTAGCAACTCTTCAAGCTGGTTTAGCACTGAAAGAGAACACAGCATACAACAATTCAGTAAATACCATTGTAGTTTGAAATATATATATCTTTGCTGAATACAAACATAATAGTATTCCAAGGAATAAAAAGTCCAACAATCTAAACTACATTTAAGTTTAAAACCAGATAAAAATTTATGTCATTCTAATTGTTAGTATTCTGATTCAAAAAGAAATAATAGCAGTATCAAGCAGATTTTCTTAAAAGTAAATTAGTATATAGTTCAACACCAAAGAGGCTCAACAAGCTGATTTATTTGTTCCAAAAAATAGTTACAATCTACCAAAAAAAAAAAAAAAATTATTTTGAAGATTTTACCAGGCCTCTGATACATTGTGCCTCATGATTTGGCTCAAGATTTGGCACATTGTGATAATCAGTTTTGGACAAAATGTGTCTATGTTTGCTTTTAATGATCTATGCCATGACATGTGATGTCTTTTGCATTTTATGACATTTACTGTGTTACTGTGTCATTTGTTTTTAATGACATTTGATGTGCTGTGCCTACCTTTATGGAGAACTGCATTGGCAGGTTTATTACCAGCCAGAGATTCCTTTGATAAGTGTTGGTGACTCTCAGCTAGACACTCCAGTTCCGCAAAACGTGTGTTTAGTGCCATGGCTGGATGACTGGGATCCTGTGTCAAGTTTAGGTATGCTGCTCGTCGTAGCTGCTCCTCGATCACCAGGCCCTGCTCCAACAACTGAAATAGGAAAAAGGCTTTTAATCAATTGATGCTAACATCAGAATAGTTATCAAATTATGCTTTACTTATCACTATATTTAACAGCAAGATCAAATGTACTTTTATCTAAATGTAAATATATACTGTAGAAAAAATACATTTTTGTGGTGCCGAATTTTCATGGTTTTTCAAAAACTTCCTATTTTTTGGAGACTTGATTTATTAAGCTGAATAAATCAACTTATCCTTATCCTACAATTTGAGGCATGAATTTGTGGACTAAGAGTTCCCACAAAAATTAATTACCACAAAAAATTAACAATTTCATAGGATTACATTTTGATTCAATTCAGTACGCCATTTTATACTTACATATTGTGAACAACAATATTTTTTGATCTCCTATATCATATATATGGAAACTTAAAAGACACACCAGTATATATGAGAGTTTATACCTTGAACCGACGAGCCAGAAACTTATTCTTGATTTCCAAGAAGTTCCCTTTTCCCTGCTCACTAAGGAATGGCTCATTAACGATCTGGAATCGAGGATCATTCTGGATATCCTGCCAACGGCCATATCCATGACTGAAGTTCAAAGGTCAAGGCAAAAATGGTACTGAACACTGCTGACAACAATAACATTGGTAGTTATTGACAGATAATGTTTGCTCTGTCAAAATCCCAAACTAAGATTAGCTGGATAGTCAGTCTTTATCCAAAACTAAGTGAAAGTGACTAATGCAGCCAATTATGGCTGCTTTAAAGCTACTGCTTTATAATTGAATTATACAACAATGGATTAACATTACATATGTTCAAAGTTATTTTCTGACAAACCAAAACAACAAAAATTATTTCACATTAGAGATCATTATCATTTTATAAAGATATAATGAGAGGGACTGATTCCTGAACACTTATCAAATTTGTTTCACAACTGTTGTAAAATATTTTTAAGTGTCTTGTCCATTGACACAACAACATTTGCAAAGACCAGTTCATTTTACAGCGGATCTATGACATGCCCAGTTGAAGCATGATGTGTTCTTGGCAACTAAACACTTCATTCAAAGTATGGGCTTATCATTGGCAAAGTATTGTAGATCCTAATAACTTTTAATATCTGTAAAGGATACGTGACAATACCAGCCAGCAGCCAGTAGTCGTGGCGACGATGCCAGACCTCGTGTTCACGGCCCATGCTCAAAGCTCGCTGCTCATTGGTCCACAAAGTGTGAAGTTCAGTAAAACCTCCATCAGCTATGTTGAACATGAACTTCTGGTTGGTTTCCTCTTTCTTGATTTCTGCTTCAGTTGGTTTCTCTTTCTTGGTCTCACTTTTTTCCTCTGCTTTCTCTACAAAACCACAATACACCATGATTAATTTAACAATCTTCCAATTGATTCAATGCAAAATAAAACTGAAACTGGAATGTGAGTCATTAGTGTCTACCAACATGACCCACGAGTTTGGACCAATGAAATTCAATGATAATCATGCGAGACATTGTACTTATCCTATAATAAGCCAAGGGACAAGAACAATATCTTTCACTAGATAACCCAATTCATTAAATAGCCTGCAGAGGGCATATTTTAAATCGTACAACCCATCGGTAATATGCAAGAAATTACAGTATTACAGGACTGGGACAGCATTTACTGGTAATACTAGACATTATTACCAGACATGGGCTTATTACCAGACTTGGGCTTGGTACCACACGTGTGCTTATAACAAGACATAGGTTAATTACCAGTTATGTGCTTAGGACCAGACAGGCTTATTACCTGGCACTGATTTATTACCAGAAACTGACTTATTACCAGATAAAAATGGCATATTACCAACTTTACACAATTGTATACAGACCTTCTTTCTTTACTGGTTTCACATCTTCTTTCTTCACTTCATCCTCTTTCTTGACCTCTCCATCCTTTGCTTCGTCCTTGACTTCTGATGTTTTTGCCTCTGAGGATTCTATAAGGAATGACAGAATTTAAACACATTTTTCAAAATATCAGTCATTATTTGTCAGGCCTTCAGCAACCATAATATCATCATACTTATTCACTGCAACAATTCAGAGTGAAGTCCTAAATACAACAAAATTTTCAATATTTCATGATGCTTTTGTACAGATGATAATTACAATCTGTTTCATAGTCATCTTTAACAGAATATGGCGATTTTTCTAACAACATTCTTTCAGCTTGCTTCTTTTTTCATCACACTTTAATCATATAATTTCTACATAACAACAATGGTTACAAGAAAGATTTTTCCTCCTTTTTACCATGTCTATTTTGTCAAGTCTATAATTTTTTGAAGTTTTCTAACAGGTAATAAAAATATGTAAGAAAAAAACCAGATGTCAATTTTTCAAACTTCCGACATTTACATAACAATTTTTCTAATATCCTGCTAATGCCCTGAACTGAAATTGAAATCTGTCTTCAGTGAATAAATCTTTTATGCTTAATGTATTATTCATACAATAAAAATTTCAACCTTGCAACAACTGATGTCTTCATAAACAACTTATCTCATACAATTACAAAAATTTCAGGGTGAAAAAAGTTAAAACATATTTCAGCCTTAAATGAATTGATTTTTATAATCATGACTGTGAAATAATTGCCTACCATCTTTCTTCTCATTTTTGTCTTCTTCACTTTTCTTCTCATCAGTCTTTTCTTCCTCTTCCACCTTTTTCTCCTCGTCTTTCTTTTCATCTGTGTCCATTGCTTCTTCTTTTTCTTTCTTCACATCTTTTTCATCCGTCTCCATAGCTTCTTCTTTCTTTTCCTCTGCTGCTTCTTGTTTGGCGTTATCAGCTGATCCTTCCTCTTTCTTTCCTTCAGACTCATCCTTCTGTAAATCAGTTATACAAGGAATTATAAATGCTATTTAAACTCTTTCTTCACTACAAATTTGTTACTGATATGTTTTTTCCTGTCAACTTTTATCATAATTTAATATGCTGTTATCTGTCATCCTTTATTTACTTCTGTTTAACAGAAAGATTCTGATGAACATATGTACATGGATTTCTCGGTGATATATGTAGCCTTAACTCATAATCACAACTTATCAAAAGACATCATTATTTATTTTTTGATTTTCATGTATCCCAACGCATTCATACCACAGTAAATGCAATAACAATGCCGTTCAATCCCATTACATTCTAATTTTTGACTGACTTTATCTATTCTAGTATTTTTCTTGGTCTCATTATGATACATAACAATAAAGGTGATGAAAACAAAAAAGATTCCAAACCTCTTTTTCATCCTCTTCTTTCCTCTGCTCCTCCTTATTTACTGCTCCCTCCTCCTTTTCATCTTCTTTCTTTTCTCCCTCACTCTCTTCCTTCTCTGCCGACTCTTTCTTGGTACTTCCAGCATCTTCACTTTTCACATCTGTTTTAGTTTCCTCCTTTTCCTTGGTCCCTTGAGCTGGTGATGATGCCTTCTCCTCCTCTGTCTTTACTTTTTCTTCCGTATCAACAGCCGGCGGTTTTTCATCCTTCACCTTCTCAACATTTTCAACAGCCTTCACTTTTTCTAGTGCGTCTGTGGCCTTAAGGTATGGCATACTGTGAAGTCCATTGATTTGCTCAAACTCTTGTACCTAAAATAGACAGCATATGATGCAGAACTGTATGTATGTCAGCATATATAGGTTTCAATGGTAAATATCTCTGGTTAATGTATCTCCAATGAGATTTGATGTAACAATAGTCATGCAATACAAAAAAATTCTACTACCTTTTCATTGGGTTAACAGCTACACAAATGCATTACAAGAATATTGGTGAATTGGGAAGGAAAGTTTAGGAAGTAAATTGCAAACCTGGGGAATTTGGCTTAAATATGGAATTATTTCAACTGGGAATGGAGTCCATTATCGGCCCCAAAACGCCCTTAAATAAGCCAATCAAAATGCCCTCAAGTAAGCCCTACATTATATGTTAAAAATGGACCTTATGATAATTATTTCATCAATTTTCTATAATTCTTCAGAATTGTCGTCATTTACAAGTCAAACATTTCAGATAGAAAAGAATAAGAATTATTACTAAGTGCTGAGGACCTTTGTTAAAGAGATTTATCAGAGTATAACAAAAAGACAGTGTATTCCACAAAATATTTTGTCTGTTTTTGTAGATATTCTCACCTATACTTCACTGATATTTTCAAAAGGAAACAAAAAATGCATATTTAATATATAAACCAAAAATCCTACCTTCTTTCTCACAAGAGACATGATACCAATACGAGTCAGAACATGTTGGCGTGACAACCCCTCCCGTGGAACACCATCTGCAAATGTCTCTGCATTATCTGCTCCTGGTTCGCACAGATGGCGCATGAACAGCGAGACGTACGCCTTAAACACCTTCTCTGACTTGTTCCTTAGATCTCTCACCAACCTGATAGTACAAATTCAGATATACATCTGTAAATTTATTTCAAAATACCTAGCCACATAAAGAGTTCCCGACATTTGCCATTGGGTAAAACCATTTTACCTATGTTTGTGACAGCGTTGCATCTAAATTCAACTCCACTAAGATCTGGTAATTTGCCTCTCCCCTTTTTTAATAGTCAATACTATGGCAAGTTTATAAAATACACTGCATCCTTCTTTCATTTGAATCAGAGACAAAACATTTGATTAAAAATTTAATAACTTACATACATTTGTTTTAACAACCCAAACATTATCCAGCAAAAATATATTAAGTCATTCTAATGTTTGTATAAATGAGAGATATAAATTCTATATCAGAATATATTTTACATGGTTATCAAACTTTTGTTTTGTAGCAGTATTAAGGCCAAAGAGAGTAACTGTATTACATACCACTGTGAATTGAAGGCATCCTGTGGTGGCATGCCATATCTCATCACGGCATTCAAGAACGCCTTCCTTTGTCTGGCGTTGAATCCCAGCACCTGGAACATTAAGTATTGGTAAATACTGTATTGATGTGAAGTTTTTTCCTGGTATGACTCACCATGTCCATACATGTACAATTCAGTATTCCAAAATACCGATACACAAATTCAAACACAATAAAACCCTTAAGGCGGTGGCAAAATGAACACCATTTCTATCAACAAAAATGCTGAAAGTTGAGAGTTTCATCTTTCCTGATATTTTTTACTGCTTTGACTTCAACATTGTTGTTAGAAGGTGACCAATACTAAAAATTTGTTTCATTCTTTATCAGTCAAAAGTTGCAGTTTTGGGGAAATAGTTCATTGGGCTGGTCGAGACCGAGATACCATTAAAATCTGTGTCACAGTGCCTTTGAGGAACAGTCAAACTTGTGACAGATCCTCCTAAATACTGTGCTGCTTTTATCTTTGTCCACAATCAGAGGTGAATGACAATAGTCATTACCTACCATATTACTACTTTTGTAGACAAAGTTTTCTGTCCTCTAGTTCTAAGTATCATTTTAATAGTAGCTTTTCATATTTATTTGTAAATTTTAAAACCAATCTTTTGAACTATTTTACTTCGATCAAAGACTAAAATCAATCAAATAATTCAAACATAAGTGCTTGTCTGTGCATTTTCATACTGGAAATGTACCTACAGCATATTTGTAAGGACAAATCAACCCCTAATAGCTCAACACTTTATTAAATGCCTATCCAATATTTAAAAAAGAAAATGTGACCACCAAAAACCAAACACTTTGCTCATCTACAACAATTAACAACTTTATTGACATAAATCAATATGTCCAGAAATCACTGTACATGTACAGAAACCTGAAAAAATTCTGACATTTGACTATACTTTTAGAGAATCCAAAGCCTTAAAAACTCCAATAATCTGTATACAAACTACACCCAGTTTTAATAACACTTACCTCAATTTGACCATTAACCCTGGCTAACAATGGTGGTAATGGGCGATCTCTGTCATTCCTCTCTCTTCTGCGACTCTTGGATGCTGACAAAACAAAAAGGAGGTATGAGTGTTTCCTTGTGACTAAACTATTTAATCTCCTGTCCGTCCTGATTCTCAGTAACACATTCTCACAAATGAACAATAAATATTGATTGACCAACAGTATTTTGTACACTTAATTATTTTCCTTATATCATTTTGATTCATACTTCAAATCCCAAATTTTCAAAGAAAAAAATTGAGACCAGAATCTATCACTGAATCTAGACTCACCACTTTCTTTGTCTTCGAAATCGTCATCATCTTCATCCTCATTCTCACCACCACCTGGTCCGCTGAAGTCAGAATCAAAGTCAGACAAATTGTCTTTCCAGGCATCGTCTTGACCCGTCATGGCATCGTTATAGTTGACCTGTTTGCGTACACGTTTCCCCTTGCCAAGAGTTCGTGCCAGATCCTCCTGCTGCTGTTCATAGTGGTGACGAAGTAATTTTTCCCAGTAAGCAGGGTCAGCATGTTCTGCCTCTTGTTTCAGAACCTCTGTCTCCGGCTCATCCTCCTGTTTGTACAAGAATACTTATTTATTTACCTTAAAGAGCTATAAATATAAGTTAAATATCCAGAAATCGGTCCATGCCTGGTTAAACACCCATCCCTATCTGTTGCCATTAAGTAGAATTACAAACATGTCCTTTAATAAGCCCACCCCAAAATTGAGTACATTGGCTCTCTAAAATCTCATTCATGATTCATAATATTGGACCAATAGCAGATAACTTGTTTAAGCCCTGAGTTTCAACGTTTTACCTAAAATTCCACATTAAAGTCATATGTCTTAAAGGCCATCTTCATACAAAATTATAAGGACTATAAGGACTGCTTTTCTGGTTCCCTATGTAATATAATTCAAAGTAAGTAAACCTATATATAAAGGTCGCCTATGTATTAAGGCACATTCTCAGTTTCCTTCAATGACCTGTATAGACAGATTTGACTGTATACCCATATATCAACCATACAAGATATTATCATGTATATAGCTGTGATACAGACCTCCTCTCCTTCTTTCATGGAGTAGGTAGCAACTTTGAAAGAACTGAGGTATTCGTTCATGGCCATAGCCTTTTCCTCTTGGCCCTCCTGGGTTCGGTCCAGCAGCTGTTCTATAGCAGCGTCATCATATACAATTCTCTGTTCCTCCTCGGATTTACCTGTAACATGAAATCACATTCATTATTCTTCGGAGATCCTCTTTGATATTGAAATCAAAGATGAAGAAATATATAACCTAATCTTTCAAAATGGACCATAAACTACTTGTAATTTAAGCAATTGTAACAGGTGATCACTGTATTAAAGTAAGAAAACATTAAGGAAATGGTCATTTCACATCCAGAACCATCTGAAGCTCATACTGGAAAGTGACCACTATTTTTTTCCTTTTCCGTTTTATTTTCTTCCTTTTTCCTCAAAGCCTACATCAAATTGTAAATCGGTCAATTTTGCAGGCCTTATATTTTGTAATATCCTGAGTTGTGAAGTTCAAAAGTAGTCAAACTTTTGCACATGTTTCTACATCGTTACCGAAACAGGAATTATTTTTTCAAGATTTTGATTCTTTGTAAAAATCTTTGGTAGGGATCTTTTTTTACCATGAATACAATTAAAACCCCTACCAACCATACTGAACAGGAACCATGACAGAATTATCACACTAAATTTTTGTTTTAAAATACACATTTACAAATTAATATCCATATTGTTTTTAATTCAACACAAACAATATCATCAAATTTATCTTTCATCTTGAAATACATATTCACAAATGAATACACATATTGTAATTAGTTTTTAAAGAAAATATTGAGGTTTTTTTTTACACAAAATTAGATATCTATAACACTACTCAATCTTTATGCAATAACGTCATATTCTATCTTACCATCATCATCGTCTTTAAACAACTTCTCTGTGCCAAACTTGAGGATGTCGTCCATTTCCTGACGTGACATGGCACCACCCTTATTGCCAAGTCCAGGTCGTACCACCAAGTGAGTTAACATCATCTTCTTCTTTGCTACCTGTGTGATTCTCTCCTCCACTGAACCTCTCGTCACAAAGCGGTAGATCAACACACGGTTGGCCTGGCCAATCCTGTGAGCACGACTGAACGCCTGCAATATGATATTTCAATTTTTCATTGTCAACAGAACACCTCTGATACATATATTTCAACAGAACTGAAGAATGAACATTTCCAATATAGAAGTTGTATACCAGAAAATGTTTGTGATAGTCAACTCATTTGCCTTTCATATCCCCTAAGGATGAATTTCTCTGTTAACTGGAGTCTTCTGTATAATGTTATTGAATGTGGAAAAGTCAGAGCAGAAATTTATTCCTGGTATAGGGCAATTTTTTTCTATTTTTATCTGTTAATCTTTATATGTATTTGCCACAGTTACATTATCACCATTGTACAAACATGACATGTTACCATTTTAGCACAAATATTTGAACAATTTAACAAATTTAAAACAATTCAAGAAAATTATTAAAAATGATTTGTCACTTTCTTCTGGAGTCAAATTTTACCTGAATATCATTGTGAGGGTTCCAGTCGGAATCATATATAATGACAGTATCAGCTGTTGCCAAATTAATGCCAAGACCACCAGCACGGGTGGACAACAGGAAACAAAACTGAGGAGCATTTGGCGCTGTGAACACATACAATCAACATTATTATTTTTATCATTTTTTCTCCATATTGTTCACACTATATCAATACATTTGAAAATATGAATCAATTAAACACATTTTTGGAGTATGAAATCTGTTTCCTCCAGAAATATCTTCTGAAATAAAATAAACAAATTCTTCACTGTCTTAGTTGAAATGATTTTCTGTAATGCAATTAAATCCAGCTTTGAACGGCTGGACCACTCTAATCAAGTTATTTAAGCCTTTTTTTACCATTAAATCTATCAATATAACCAAGTTATATAAGCCATATTTTTACCATTAATTCTATCAATATAACCAAGTTATTTAAGCCTTTTTTTTACCATTAATTCTATCAATATAACAAAGTTATTTAAGCCTTTCTTTCTTACCATTAAATCTATCAATAGCATCCTGACGCATAGCTCCTGTGATGCCACCATCTATCCTCTCATACTTGTAGCCTTCATTTTCAAGGAAGTCTTCTAGAATATCTAACATCTTGGTCATCTGTAAACAGAAAATTCCTCTACATTATCATCCCTGTATCTACAATGACATTTCTCATATCAGAGATTTCTCATGCACAAGACTTGTTATTTTGTTTCAAATTTAATATTTTTCCAACTCAAGATTCCATAAAACAGATGAAATTTTGACAGATATTTTATAAGCTTTAAAAATGAATATCAAAAGAAATACTGGAAACCATTTTCATACCTGGGAGAATATTAAAACTCTGTGTCCATTTTTATGCAAATTTTTCAACATCTTTGAAAGCAGATCCAACTTCCCGCATGCTTTAATCAGAGCATTTCCTTCAAACATCCCGTTAGCTACTTTTGGCGCTTCCTATAACACAAGGATACAGTAGATTAATGACAAAAAGGAAAACAGAGCAATACCTCACTGGAGTGTACACATCTAGTCCGATATATATAAAACAGTGTTAGCTGACAGCTAATGTATATCTGTCAGTTTATTGAATTTGTTACACTGAAAATGTACATCATGGAAATACTTTCAGCATTCAAAAAATGAAATGCAAATGTAAAGCAGTATATTTCTAACTTGGTCAGTTTGGGTTTTTTTGGCACTTCCATTTAATAGCAAAATTATCAGATTAAATCAAATCCTACAGTACAGCCTCCCTAAGAGGCATTATAAGATTGAGGCCTCTGCTGTGTTGACTTACATTAGCCGCTGTAGGAAACAAGTAGGGATGATTACAGCATTTCTTTAGATCCATCATGATGTTCAGCAAGGACACCTGGCTTCCACCTCTCAAGTTCAGAGCGTCAAAATTTCTTGTTAAAATGTACTTATAATATTTCCTGTAAAAACAAGCAGATAAATAACATTGACTAATTTTAAATCAGTTGTAGCATATATGCGGTAAAAATTACTCACCTGAAAAGCACATCAATCAAAATCCCTTATTTGTCTCACTGATTGATCACTTGGTCTCAAATGTGTCTTTATATATTACTTGGTATTTAACTAATTCCTCAAACCAACATTCCTTAAATATCGTGGTTTTTTCAAACTCATTTTTATCCCCTCCCTTCATTTTCAAAATATATATATCATTCATAAACACTGGATGTTCATGGCTGTTCGCTAACTGACAGTCCATCACCAAAGTTGATTTTCTCAATTACCCTGTATTCCTCAAGCTACTGACATGAATCCATACTGTATTTGGAATCTGAAGTATTCTGATAACCTTAGAAAATTTGTGCTCAATAGGAAGTTGGACAACAATGTGAAGATATTAAGATGTGACATTGAGAATTACCAGCAAAATAAAGGAATTTTTCACGTTCAAATTTTGACCTAGTTGTTGTCCTGGACAAGTGGAGGATCACACAAGAACAATTTTGTGTCTACTCAAGACCTGGGTGTAAATTTAAGTAACATTTACCAGACTGTAATGACTTTCTGTATGGTTTTGAAATGGAAACTTACTGTCAATGAACATGAGTGAAGTCAATACTTATTACTACCAATACTTTAAAATATCAACATCCTTTTTAGCCATTTTACCACTTGGTTCCGTATCTTGTTTTGGAACAGTAAAATTTGAATTTTTCATGGGAGTCTTATATTCATCTAATTCCTGAATACTTTTTTAATCCTCAATGTACATTTCCACGAAATGATCTTCAGATAAAAATTTACATGAATTAGTACTGGTGAGGATTTTTTTAAAAACTATCTTAAATATCAAATGCCAATGTAAATGCATTTTTTGTAAAATCAGAAATTTAAGCCCAATGAAAATATATTAATCTATCCTTTCTTATTCACAGAGGAAAAGACATTAAAAATTGCAGTATTTACTTTTGCATAGGGCTAAGCTCAACTCTGACGATGAACTCGCTCTTGGTAGGCATGCCCTTCAGGACATCAGCTTTCAGTCGTCGCAGCAAATGTGGTCCAAGCATGTCGTGGAGACGTTTGACTTGCTCCTCTTTGGCAATATCGGCAAACTCGTCAAGGAAACTCTGTAGCTGACTGTAAATCAAAATGGCTTGTTAACAGGTGCTCTGACAGATCTTTCTTTACTTTCTTGTATAACATTTAATGAATCAACACAACTTAAACTCTGAATCTGAATGCGTTCCCTTAAAGTTGATGCAAAAATTGCATCATCAACTAAAATCTGATGAAATACTGAAGGTCCGTTCAGAGCAATTAGAGTTAAATACCTTACCCATGGACAACAGAGACCAGTCCGTTTCTTAGCTTCTTAAGAAATACAAACTGTAACAGGTAAGAATAGTCAACCCATTTCCCTTATCCTTAAAGTATAAAATGATAAACTCACTTGAAATTTTCTGAACTGAGGAAGTTCAACAAATGGAAGAGTTCCTCTAGGTTATTCTGGAGAGGTGTCCCAGTCAACAGCAGCTTGTAGGCTATTTTATAGTTACTCAGCACACGGAAAAACTGCAGAAATCAAAAGGGTGCAAGGATTAATATTTACTTACTTCAGTTATATTTTAATAAAAGGAATCTTTACTGAGGCTACCCTTTTTTTAAGTTTTCTCAAATTTATGTAAACAGGCCAAATAATTTACAAAATCAAAGTCTTTGAAATATTAAATTATCTTCGAAAGCAAGGCATTTATGACCGTGTTGTTCATTTGTGAAAATTGAAAGCAGATGATTACCTAAGAATGTCTAGAAGACTGTTAACAACATTTCAAGATACGACAATTGTTCTTAAAAAAATGCAACACAAAGCAAAGAGTTGCAATAGTACAGATGGATATAAGTAACAGTATAAACATATACTTCTATACCACCAAACTCTCCCCCATAAAATGGCAGGGAAATTTTTTTGTAACATCCCCATTTTTACCTTAGACTGGTTATTCTTAAGTCTGTGAGCTTCATCCACGACCAGTACTGCCCAGTCTACTGAACCCAGTGTTGCATTGTCGATACTGACTAATTCGTACGACGTCAGTAAAACATGGAATTTGACTGGTACATCTTGCCTCATTTTACATGCCTTTGCTCCCCCTCGAATGGCTCCTTCTTCAAAAGAAAACTCGTGCTCTCTGAAAAATAATGAGCGAAAATTGTAGGATCAGACAAAATTGTTAAACATGGTATAACCAGACACTTCAATGTGAAGTTACCGCCAATTTTTTTTAAAAAAAAAATGACTACTAATGCTAACTGGCAATGTTACTTTCATTTAAGCAGCAATAATAATTTTGACATTGGTTGCAGAATTCATGCTAGCAAGCTAATTCATATCTAAAGATCTGACAATGAATACAAACAAAACTTCATGGTCAATTCATGCAAACGGGGATTATATGTCCACATGTTTCTGGCATGGATAAAACATGTTTAAACATTATTTTCTTCATATACCCTAGTTCAGGCTGCTTCTTAGATTCCATCACAGTGTGGTATTTATAAGATATGTACCTGATGACTGCTCGACAGTCCTTATCTCCCACATACGTAACTACGTAAAGGTCTGGAGCCCAGAATTCAAACTCACGTTCCCAGTTGATGATGGTGGAAAGTGGGGCACTCACGAGGAACGGCCCTTTTGAATGTCCCTGTGAAAAATAAGATGGTGTATAAGAACAACAGGAACATTTTCTAAACAAGTTTGCCAGATAATTTACAAAATACAATAATGACCAAGCTCTGCAGAAACTAATATCATGCCAATATTAACTGGCAGTGCATCAAAACAGCATCATTGAAAGATTAAACACCTTAAAATTCTAAGGAGATTCTGAAACATTAACTTAAAATCACAGAGAAATTCGGTTTCTTCAAAAATGTAATTTGACTTCACAACTTGCCTGCAATTTACAGGGCAATTGTATGTTGGAATGACAAATGGGTTAAAGGAAATTCAACAGATTACATAAACATTTATATTCCTACTCTATTAGCCATCAGATTACTAAAGAGCTAATCATACATTTGAAGACATGCATGCAAATTTCACATTTTCCATTACATTTACTTGAAAAGAAGGCCTTGATAATGATTAGGATTTTACATATTTTTTTTGCATCACATGTCTGATTTTTACTTCTTTTTTGTGACATACCTCCTTGTAAAGGGAATAGAGAAAAGCAATTGTCTGGATTGTCTTTCCAAGTCCCATTTCATCTGCAAGAATAGTATCGGTTCCATTCACCCAGGAGTACCGTAACCAGTTGAGGCCCTCCAACTGGTAGGGATGGAGTGCTCCACCTGTTGAAAAGATGTACGGAGGATCTCTGTCAAGCTTCTTCCTTAACTGTAAACAAAAACGAAAATTATTTTTAATAATTGTACGTTTAGATAGATAGATGTCAGGGCTCTTGATCTGCCTGATTTGGGGCCGATATTCGGCCCCATTCCCAATGCAAAATAATATCTTTTTTCCCAATTTAGACCCCAAGTTTTCCCCAATTCCAAGGAAAACACCATCATTTTTCCCAATTCTAAGGGCCCCGGGCCCCAGTCCCAAAATAGGGTGTGAGAGCCCTGGATGACAACGCCATGCGATTTATTGATTGTCCAATCCAGTGGATTTTTTCAGATTGTTCCTATTTCCTTAGAATCTCTTTTAATGCATTTCCATGAACAAACAAAATTTGTGAAATTATCCTGATGCAACTCTGATTTTTTTCACATGATAAGATGTGTAATACAGGAATCCCTCCACAAGACTATTCCAGTAAAACATCTCTCTCACTAATGGACTCCCAAGTTTTGTTTAAGGGTACCACATGTAGGCTTTAATTGAAAATCTGCGTAACAGAATTAATAGGAAGGAATCTAAACCATGGATGAAAGACATTCATTTAGAGTCCTTGGGTAAAGTAATTATTTTTTACTGGAATAGTCCTGATTTGAACACTGCTGAAAAGTTGTAAATAAATCTGTACATCTAGTGGTATTGGCAGATCTTAAATCTTTAATGTACTTACATCTGTAGTTGGGAAGCTAGGGGGCTGTTTGTCTGATATGTCAATTTCTTTGTCTTTCTTCTTCTTCTTCTTTCCTGGGCCTTTCTTGTCTCCATTTCCAAACATCATAGCTCTACACAAAATAAGCAAATTCATTGATTTATATATGCAGCTTTTAATCAGTTTGGCTAAAAAATGATAAGATTCACCTGTAATCAAAATCTCTTGAAATCCAATCCAATAGTGCAGTTATTGCTTAGAAATCAATTGGCCATTACAAAATGAAGGCACTGACTCATTATGCATTCATGGACAACATAGATAGAATTCAGGCTGAAGGACAGATAGATGTACTTTCAAATCTTTTTGAAAATGGACTTTCGCAGTTAACTTGAAGCCAAAGCAGAAGTTTACAATAGCCGTTAAGGCTGACCAAGCTCAGTATTTCATTTTTAATGATTTACAAACATTTTGAGTGTCTATTACAGGAAGATGAGCAGATATAGAATCATACGGATTCGTGTACATCCCTAATTTCACAATTTAGGTATTGAGGTACAAGTAAAAAATATTTATATATATATACATACCTGAGAACCTCGTAGTCGTCAATGTATTTACGGAGGTTTGCAACACCACTGTCCTCACCTTCCCAGGTGGCTTGGTCATATGGCAGATCACACCACTTCACTAGATACCATGTAGTGTCCTTTGATGTCCTAGATTCACAACACAGTACAACATATATATTTCTAAGTGTTTTCTTGCATCATTGATATTTTTACTATAACATATGTGAAAAGAATTTGACAATACAGGTTTCACTTTCACTTAATGACAAGATTTTTAATTCTTAAAATGAAAATTCCCTCGGTGTTACAGTAAAAGCTACCTGAGTGGGTACCTTTTTATAATGGACAACTTCTTACAGCATAAATTTGAGGTCCTTCAAATGTATCTCCTATATAATACTCCTTATAAAAGCAGACACCGTTTTAATCTAGACAGCAGACATGGTTTTACTGTCTGAAGTAAGCCCAGCAGAAACCATCCTTTGAAAAATTTGTACAAGTTATCTCCCCTTTACCAATATCTCTTTCTGTGGTAAATAGTAGTTCAGTATAAGCACCCTATGTAATGCTATAGGTGCGTGGCAACATAAGATATTTCTCAGCAGCTACACAGAGACCAGTAAAGCATGATAAACAGATAATTTCTGTGCAACATCATCATGAGTATATTGCTTAATCTAAATTATTAGATAGGTTTCATGAAAATGTGGTGACTCCGATGAAATTTTAGTATTTTTACATGTTTTTTCAAGAATTTGGCGAAATTTATTACATGAAATATCCATCCTCTAAATGAAGAATGCCTCTCTACAAAGGACAGTTATGCACAGTCCTATTGCTGTCCTTTAAAGACAGGTCTGACAGTTTTCAGATATTACTAACTTGTGGTTAATGATTCTGTGGACCTCTAGCCATTCTGGGCGGACACCATATTTGTAGAAGCGCTCCTCGAGATTTTCACCATCGTCTGCATCCCTGTCTTGACCTCTCTTTCCTTTGATTTTGTGATAGTCCTTCATACCATAGCTACTGCCATCTTCCAGCGGTGGGGGCTCATCCATGTCATTTTTACGAATGTAATGACGATACATGGCAGGATGATATACATCAACCTAAAAGGGGGACCAAATCATTTATTAATCATCACATCAACCTGCCCCCCTCCACCACACACACATACACACAAAAAAAACATACCCCAAATATTTTGTCTCTCTCTAAAATTTTTCCACAAGTTGTGATGGTTTCCTTTGCATCATCTTACTTGAAAGTTGTGATAATCTAATTGCTTAAATATGATTTTTTTTCTTTCATCAGTAAATGAGGAAGAACAGCATTTACCCTTGTATTAAATTTCCATAAAATTTCAAAAGAGTAAATAACAATAATACCATACCTATTCATCATTAATTTGAAAGTGTATAATCTCCAAACAAAAGCAGCACAACAAGTTAGGAAACAAGGTCAATGCAATCTAGAGGACAAAAGGGCGACATAATAAACTTACCCGTAACTCACTGATCCAATCACAATGCCAGTAACTCAAATTGCGGAACTTGACAAAGAATTCCCGAGTTGGCTTAATATTCGCCTGTTGTAAAAGGAGAAACAGTTACAATATACAATAATCATTACATCTAAATTCTGTGGTCCATATGTTTCATATTAATTTTAAGTGCCTCTATTTCTTATAACTTTTAAAGAAGTTTGATAAGATATATCAAATATGTTATTTCAAATTCAGCAAAGTGTAAAGAAATTTTGTTTACATCAACATGTTACTGATGGTCATGATAATCTTAAACCATACAGCCAATACATGGGTACCTTTTTAGAGGGAGGGTGAGCATGAGTGTGGTCAAGCTCATCTAATTTGTCTTCCTGCTCTGGTGGTTCAGTCCAGCGCCAGGTCAATATCTTCTCCACATGTCCTGCCAATGGTTCAGCCTGAAAAAAGATACCAACAAAATGTTCAACAAAAGGATCCCTAACGGCCATCCGAACCCATCGTCACAAAATCTGTATTGTTTCAACTTTCGGTTCTCCTTTTCTCTTCAATTCTCATGATGTAATGTTACAATTTGCAAAATCAGTAATTATACTTTTATGATTTTAACCAAAAAAATTACGGTATCTTTACTCCTTGTTTAATTTCGTTAAGTTTGAAGGAGACTCACAGAACATCTAGGACACAGCCAGTCACCATCAGGGATGTCCTTAACCTGTGGGTTTACACAGTGCATGTGATATGCAGATGGACATTGGTCACAGCAGAGAAGCTCTCCTCCATCCTTACACACACGACAGAATTCCATGTGTTCGTCCTCCTCCTGCTCTTTAATACCTTCACCCTCCTGAAAGAAATATCAATTTTCAAGCTTTTCCACCGATATCTGACAAAGTTCAGAAATAGAACTAGAAAGACTTTTCAGTTTTCCTGAATATCGGCAAAACTCACAATTAATATATTTCAATTAGATTATGTTTTGAAGAAAATAAGAGAAAACTATTGTGGAACACTTACACAGTGAGGGCAGCTCCATTTCCCTTCTGGTGCTTCCTCTAGTTCAGGATCTAGACAGACAAGATGGTAGGCACGAGGACAGGTGTCACATAGGATTATCTCCCCTCCCTGCTGGCACACCTCACAGTAATCTTGATGGTCCGTCTTAGAAAATAAAAATGTTTAGTATCAGACACTAAGAGATTTGATGTTAGAACTTTTAATATCAAAAATGTTAATTCATTCAAAGGGCAATTATAGACTTTTTTCTGAGGGATTAACTTATCTTGATTTTATTGTCACTCTTAATCCTGGAATTCACATGTTCATAATTTGTTAAGAGAAGAGCAAGTAATTTTTTGATGATTTTTGGTTAAATGTACTTATTACAGCAATCTTTTGACAAAACACAAAAATTTAGCTCCTCAAAAATATGAAACAGTCAATGACCAAACAATGTACTATTTAACACAATACAATATTTATCTGTTGACAAATTGATTGATGTGTACAGCCAGTTAGATATATAACAACCAAATATTGAAGGGGATAAATGAGGAATTTTTTACAAAGAATTATAAACAATCAAGATAAAAAGTAAATAAAAGATAGTGATAATAGGCAACTAACATCACAAACCTCATAGCCTTCCGCATCTGGATCATTGGGGAATTTATTTGTAGTTTTGGTCTTCTTCTTTCCACCCCTGCCACGCCCCTTCTTGGTCTTGGTTTTACGTCTTGATGCTGGCTCTGCCTCTTTGGCAGCTTCCTGTAACATGGACGCCTCTTCCAACTGGCGCTCAAATTCCTCGTCACTTGTGTTGAAGGCTGCATCATCATCCTGTAATTAAAGGGATGTGTACTTTTAAGCATACATGTATACCTGTACATTTCCAGAAATATCACTATGGACTCAAGAAGTAAATTCAATTCTTTATTGTTTTACAGGAAATCAAACTGAAATAATTTCATATAAAGCAAAATCACCTTTTGGATTTAACGCCAGTTTTATGAGGCTATAATATCTTTAATCACTCAGACTTGTGAAAAAGGCCTTTCAAAATTCCTTGATATGATTTCAAAATGTCAATAAAAACATAAATCTCCAAATGGCTCCATAAAACCTATAAAATGAACTAACCGAGGCATTCTTCTTCACTTTCTTCTTCTTTTTATTGATTTTTATCTTGAGGGGAGCCACCGTTTTCTTTGATTTTGTTTTCTTTTTCCGCTTTTCCTCTACTGGAGCCTCATCTTGAGGTTCGGTATCCTCATCACCTTTACGAACACATATCAAACATGAACTACACAAAGGCAACAAAAAGTAAAATCATCAGTATATAACATGAGAAATAACTTTCATATGAATTATTTTTGTTTTTTGTTTTGTTTTGCCATATTTTCAATGAAAAGCATTTCATATTTAATTTCAATTTCCTGCTGCCAATTTCTTTTAAAATTACTTCCCAAATGAGACAAAAAGGTCCCATTGAAAAGAAGTGTAAGAAAGCTCTACATCATTTTAGGGAAGGTCCTAGATTGCATTAACATTCAGGTAATCTAAGAATGAATTTCACATTTCTTTGATAAAAATTTACCATTGTCCTTCAGAGAATCATCTGCATTGTCCTCTCTATCTGATTCTTCTCTTTCCTCTTTTTCCTTTACAGGTTCTACTACTTTTTCCTTTGGAGTTGTACTCCCTGTTGAATCCCGTGTTTTGTTGCGAGCTGCTACAAGCTGAGCAAACTCCCTCCATTTGGCACCAATCAGTGTCACCATTTTTGCCATGGGCACTTTTGGGTTTGCCTTCTGTATAAGGGGCTGAACATGTTGCTTGAACAGTTTGTAATTATTCAAGGTAGTGAAATCGTCATCGTCATATTCAATGTCAATATTGTTGATGCCAAGATCATCTGCAATTATGTCTGATGGAGTCTTCTTTTCCTAAAGATAAAAAAAGATGGCCAATATTAATTCATTATCACCAAAATCAAGAAGCAAGTTCTAGCAACTTTAATCACTTCTGCTGGACAAAATCAAAGAAAAGCACCAGGGGTTTGCTGGGAATATTATTCAATGGAGAAACTTACTAGTCACTAGTGAAGACTGTTAATTAGACATTATTTTGTGTCCAAACAGGAAGTCAGCTTTGGTTTATCTTTGTCAAAAACATTGGAACTGATGACAACTATGGCTCATGCACATACAGACCCATATTGGCTCCTGATTACCCCTCCATTAAGAAACATGCTATCTGGTATCAGATGTAAACAGACACGAGATCTCACCTTTGGTGTAGATGAAGGTACTGCCTTTGGCTTCTTCTGTTTCTTGGGTGGTGATATGTAGTCTTCACTAGCATCATCATCAAAGCCCATCTGGAAAGCCAATGTTAATCATTGAATCAAAGGTACTATAAGGTCAAAGGTAGAAGGTAGTATAAGGTGAAAGGTAAAAGATAGTATAAGGTCAAAGGTAGAAGGTAGTATAAGGTGAAAGGTAGAAGGTAGTGCAGGGTCAATGGTAGAAGGTAGTATAAAGTCAAAGGCAGAGGTAGTAAAAGGTCAAAGATAGAAGGTAGTATAAGGTCAAAGGTAGAAGGTAGTATAAGGTGAAAGGTAGAAGGTAGTGCAGGGTCAATGGTAGAAGGTAGTATAAAGTCAAAGGCAGAGGTAGTAAAAGGTCAAAGATAGAAGGTAGTATAAGGTCAAAGTTAGAAGGTAGTATAAGGTCAATGGTAGTACAAGGTCAAAGGTAGAAGGTAGTATAACGTTAGATTAGAAATCATATGTTATCTGTAAATGTAAATTGTAAACTGAAAAAATTACCTCAAGCATCAAAACAAATGTGCAATTAATATTTTACAATATTACACTTTGTGTTAGAAAATTGTAGAGAGGATAAGTGCATGATTATGTTTTTGTATATGTATTTCATTATCAAAGTATAATTTGGGATCCAGTTTAGAACTTGTGAATGTAAGGATCAATAACCCATTATCATACATGTATTCATAAATCTAATTTCTTTTGAACTTATTCAGTATAGTAAATAAAATAGACAGAACCTACCTCATCATCATCGTCATATTTCTTTTTCTTCTTCTTGCGCTTTTGTTTCTTTTCTGCAGGATCTTTAGATCGTCTTTTTTTACTCTTTTTTTCTGGTACAGGACTGTCGGGCAAGTCATCATCTGTTCAGGTCACATAAATACAAAGGAGCATATAATATAGGAACAAATCAAAGCCTAAAAAACAAGTCAACATCTTAAATATTTCTACACAATCAATGGCTACATGAGGAATTTAAAGAAATATTTCAGGGTTAAGAATTTATTCAAAACTGGTGACGTGTGATATCAAACATATATTTAGTATGATATAGAAAATATTATCAAAAATACTCTAAGGTTGAATTAGTAAGGCATGATTTAAAAAAAAAAAATAAAACTATCCCTTTACTATCAAATAACAGAAAAAAAAAGTTCTTTAGTTTTTGATGTTGTCATTATCAATGTAAATAAATCAAAGCCATCACGATAGATCTGATAAAAGTGATGGGAATATATACCACAATAGATAAGAAAAAAAGTACTTCAATGGGATTCTATTTACATTTCTAACACACAGAATGGAAAGGGCCTCCCATATGTTGTTCAGTGAGGTAGCCAATGGCTACTCCAAGCAGAACCCCTACCTCCGCATGACCCTGGCTTTTCACAGAGTGATAAACCCAGGCAAATAAATAAACAAAAAAAAATTACAACAAACTTCTTTTATATTCACATCATTGTAGACATGCAAAAATTACAATGTATAACTGTGTGTTTCTGTAAGCTAAGCCACAGTACAATAGTATGAGGGACATACATGTACAATTGCTGCAGATTTACGAGACTGGCAGCTGCCTGAAGCTGGGACAGACCCAGTATTGATCCAGTGTGACACACTTTTATGCCTGGTCCCCAGATCTACAATTTACAGTTGCAGACTTGGCCTCTTTCTGTCTGCTGTATGTTCCTGCAGTTTTTACAGAATGTGGAATTATTGATTTTTTGGACTTGAAGCCCAGAAGCATTTGTCAGGTTATAAGATTCTAACTGTAATGCATACTCAAGGTTACGTCACCCTGTAGTTAAAAATATTTATCATGATCTTAAATCTTAGACATACATTTCAAACTCCTACCGTACAGACTAAAAGTGTACACTGATTATGTAGTGAAACTAGAGCTTAAGAACCCTTTTTCTTCCTATTCATTCATTACCAAATCCTGACGCAAATCAATACACTACATTGTGTAGAACAATGAGATCATGTAAAGTTACATGTGTTTTTGCACCAAAACATTTAAAAAAACATGTGTATACTTCAGCGCTACAATGGTGTAGGCAAGGTTTTCACCTTCATTTTCTGACATCAAATAAAATTTGTCAATCTTATACAAACTTGTATATTATATGTACTTCAGTACATAAATATTTATCTAAACTGACCTATCAAAGATAAAATGTCAGCAAAATTTATATCAAAATATCATATATATGCATATGATCATAAAAGGTTCTGTTGGACTAAACCAGTTTCATGCAAAAACAACCAACTGCTTTGAATAAATTATCAAATATATGTGTGGTGGTCAAAAAAAAAGGAAATAATATAACACAACATGCATACTAAAAGCTGGCTACAGGAAAAATAAAAAATAAATTTTGATCTACAACTGAAACTCAAAGCACAGCTTGGCAAGCTACATGGTGTAAATATCACCAGCTTTAATACATAGATACAAAATAAAAACAGGACGTTTTGTTTGTTTGATAACATTTTTAAGATGAGAATTCAAACGAAATTCAACATGAACAATTTCAATTGAGTGTTCAAGTACATATTGAAATTGTAATTCCTCACAGAAATCTGTAGATTAATTGATAAGATAAATGATTTTAATAGATATTTTTTCACAGGAATAATTTCCACTGGTTGAACATCAAAAGTGATATGAACTAATTATAAAACATATATAAGGCTTAAGAAACATATCAGATACTTCAAAGGTAATTGACTCTACAAAATAAAGGAAAAAAGCTTTAATGGCAAAGTCTAATAGCAAAATAATTCATAATGTACATCATGAGCACACAATATAGACAGAATATCATTTCTACCTAACAAATAAAGCTTTGTTGTCTATTGACAAAGGATGTATAAATGACACAATCACTACAAGGGCCAGTTCTGTTGCGTCTTCTTTGAAATCAAAAACAGGTAAAACTCTGTTTCCTTTCAACAATTTAAATATGTATATCATGGATTGCTATTTGATTTCATCACAAGTCTGATCATTTTAGTCTGAGATTTATTTTGTTGTTTTATTTATGATTGCTACACTCTACAAGTATAAAGGACCTTAAATGTTGGTCTAGGTGATACATTGTGATCCAAAATTCTCCTCACACCAGATTATGTGGTAACATAATTTATCAACTTATAGCCCCTAACAGGCTACCTCACCAAGGTGATGACATCCCTAAAGTATGAAGTTCCATAAACTTATAGTTCAGGAGACCAAGATCAGACAAACTATTTTCTTAAATGTAGGTCAAAGGTCAAGATGAAGGTCTGAGTGTCCTACTAATACATGACACACTGCCTCACCAAGGTCAGCACCATATCCCAAGTATGAAGTTCCAGTGACCAGTAGTGTCCTTAGGAAATTACTTTTACTTTGATATAGGTCAAAGTTCAAAATGTAGGTCAGAGTGACCTTCTTCCCTGCTTGTGATACATGACACACTGTCTCACTGAGGTGAATCCATACTCTAAATAAGTTCTACTGACAGGTAGTGTAAAAGATAGAGAGCCCACACAAGGAAGTGGAAGGATGGACAGTTAGAGACTGTACTATAAAAAAAGAGCCATCCCTTAAGAAGGGACTTCAAACAATGGAAACTTTAAAAGCTACATAATGTGACCACTCGCCAAACCACAGATGCTTGTTGTTATTACATTGTCTATTGATTGGTAGTGTACATGCATATTATGACCCTTGACATCTTAGTTACTCCGAGAGAGTTATATTTAACAATATTCAGACATCTGACCTCCATAACCTCTTGAAAGTGGGATAATTGGAGGGAAAATAATAGGGCTTCCATTTTGTACTCTAATCATTATAACTAAACCAAATACCCTTTTCTCATTTTTTGAAAGCAGTATAAAGATACAAACTTGTACTAACTTATATGAACCATGTGAACTGGAAAGTGGATCAAGGTCATTCATTTGAACCAGTTTGATTGGCTTTGCACTTCACTCCCACATGCACCGACTTTATAATACACGACCCTTCACCATTTAGTTAAATTGAAAATTTAATAAGAACAGACATATACCAGGTGACACTGCTGAGAAAAAGGCTTGTTTGCAAGTCGAGGTGAACAGCTAGCAGGAATGTGCCATTCATTTTAATACCATGCTGAGTTGATTTAAGCCTTAAATATATTAATTGCATTAATTTCAGCATTTTGAAATGACTTGTGAAATAACTACTTGGTCATCAATCAGGTGATTAATGTATGTAAAATAAGCTGCTCATACATATTTCGCCAAATTCATGACATTTCAAACGAAAATATTTACAAAAGCTTCAAAGTACCTCATAAAGTGTTTTGTGTCTTTAATAAACAGTGACTGATCCATATAACAGTCCTGGTACAAATGACACATATTTTTATAAACAGTCACATTTAATTTAGGAAATTAAACATGCTGTTTCTTTTTTGTAGAAAATGGGATTGGCATGACATTTCAAAATGAAGATAAATCCCTGAATTAATAAAAATATTTCAATTATCTGCTTTTTTAGTTTTACATCATTAAGTCATAATTAGACAAGCAAAAGACATGTTACGTTCCCTTCCCATGATAACCTACAACTTGGGCTAAGTGACTCCATGGTATACTATATTAAACCTAAGGACTGGCATGGGTCACCAAAAAATATTGTAAATAATCCCACATCATACTATTAACATCTATTTAACAAGTTCTTTTTCCTCATAATTTATTTTTAGTTTTAGAGTGAAAAAAAAACATCTACATATTGTTAAAAGTTTTTGTAATTTGTGATGAATTTGTATAGGCGGTAGCTTCTATTTTAAATAAATATTTCTACAAGGATGTCAGTACTTTGGGGGAAAAAATACATATGAAAAAAAATAAAAATCAACAAAATAAGAATAATACATCTGTGTTATTTTCAACATGTACTTGAAAGTAACAACATATATATATATAGCATCAAACTATATTAAAATGGCCATAAACCAAGGTGAAGTAATACAATGCAGCATGCATCATGACAGAGGCACTTATTCCTATGATACCACATTGAGGCGTTACTTACAGGGCGTACCCAACCTAGACTCTGCCCCCTCCTGTTCAGGTGGGGAATATGGTGATGGAGATGCATTTTGCGGAGTTGAATACCGCTCATCTGCAGAAAAATGTGCAGCTCTCATGTACATTTTTTATCAAAATTACTGTAAATTGATAACAGCATTGTCTATTGATGTCTCACATGTGCTGGGGTTGCTCACACTTCAAATTCAAGGCAGATAAGCAAATTATGTCTGCATGAACAATTCAATCATCAAAAACAATTTTCCTACGTTGACAGACTCTGTTTCCTAATCCTCGATATAACTGATGAATTGCGCAGTTACAAAAAAAATCAATGTGTAATATTGTAGAGATTCTAGATCCAATTCTTTTCAGTTAAGATACTGAAAAATAAGGAAAAATAACCATCAATGATCTATAGGTCTGAAAGATAACACAACTATCATTGGTGGTTTGCTTGTCTTGATTTTCTATAAATGATACAATTCAAATTGGCAAGAACCTTTTCCTTGAGACAGTTTTTTTCAATCTCACCTTTCCTTTTAAAGAAATAAATGAACGCAGCGGACAGTGTGTGCAACTCCAACAGCCATCATAATATTAAATTTGAAACAAATTAAATATGAGACATACATAACAAATTTTATAATAAAAAGTCTAAACAGTTAGATATCATTCATTGCACTTCTGTGGTATAAATCAAATATGACAAAGCACATTGAATAAACTTTGTCCAGGTACATTAGAACTTGCTGTTTAAAAAAAACAATCGTTTGTTTATCGCTAAAAAATATTCACATCACAAAATATCAGTGACATGCGTTAAACATGTAACACTCAGTGTTAGGTGAAAAACACATTTTAATGATAAATCTTGACTGTTACACTTGTCTCACGACAGAACTGAAACTGCATCAGCTGATAAGTATTCGAGCTCTTGTTTTCCGGGCATGCGCAGACCGCCTGTAGACGGTATGATATTTATCCCGATATTTATCTCATCGATTTTGATGTGAAATTTGATCGAACAAAAATGAAAAAAATCAAGCAGAATCTTTTCTATATTACATATTGTTGCAATACAAAGAAAACCTGACTTCAAAAACGGTATTATGAACGGGAAAACCCCTCTAAAACGTAAATACACAGGGTTTTCGTATCCTGTATGCAAATGAACAAAGACGTAGGCAAAGGGAATTCCGCTCGACTCGTGGTTTGAAAACATCCCCTGTATGCGATACAAACAATGTTGTGTCGACAAGTAGTGAAGATTTATCGGTAATAAGAAGTTCAATTAACACTAATTTGTGCAAGATGTTGAAATCGTGTATGATTCAACTGTCAAACTATGAAGAAATCGAAAGCTCCCATCAACCTAATTAGGAAATTAAACAAAGTGATACCTTCGCCGGTCTCCTCTCCGACATCCATACTTTCATCGTTTTCGTCATTTTTGGCCGCTGAAGCCATGATAGTCGATGTCAGTGATGATCCAAATAACTCCCTGGGGACAAAAAGAGCTAGTTCTGCCCTTACTTATTCTCTATTTGTACAATATCAAGCATCGGGGTACACATGGGTTAGCCGCCCTATCCCTTGCCCCTGCGTCGCTCGAGCGATTTGGAGCCCGGGTTGATCATGCGCAGTGTGACGTCACTGATTGGTGATATATCCCATAATTTCCATTTTTTGGCTTAAAAGTTATCACGTGATTAAAATTAACTTTTCATTAATATCATCTTAATAGATACTGTGAATTCCTTATGCCTCTGCTTCAGTCGTCGCATGCGCAGGTTTTGAAGACAACAAGTGCCCGTTATCTTTATAGCATCAATTAATTAATTGATACGTAGTCTATTTGTACTTACAGACAAATAAGATAAATAAGGAGATTGGTTCAGAGACATAAAAGAGATTTTTATCGAAATTCATGAATTTTTGCAAAAGTGAATTCTGCTGAATCATTTTACATATTATAGTAATATAACGCCCAGACTAATATCTATCTATAGAAAGTGTCCGTTAAATTAGATATATCTTTTTGTCCCGGGAAAGGTATACAAATTGAAATCGTATTGTATATATCATTAACATACAGCGATATCTCTATGTAACCTTCTATTCACATATCTATGTACGATAGTTCTTGCTATCTATCATCCGCTATTTTTTCCGCAACCAAGTTGCGGATATGAGTGCCAAGTCAGATCACTAATGAAATGGACACACTCTCAGATACTCATTTTACCCATTGGTCAGCTTAATTATTGACTGTTTGCAAATATTACAGAAAACCCGTCCTTGTATTCATCTGGTTTCAATATAATTTCAATTACATATATTTACATTTTTTACAGTGTAAAGTGTATTCTATTTGTTATTGCATGACAGTGTTTCCTCAGTAATCATATGCTATCGGGGTTCGAATCCTGGTGGATTTGTATACCAGAAACGAGATGTAATGCTACTAGGAGTTCACCCAGTGCCCACTCATTAACATAGAAATAGGCGTGTCCGCAGCTAAATATAGGATTTCCATTATTTCTAAGTACAGTTACTACATCTATTTTATCCTCTAACCATGCTTTTACCGTCGTTCATCTGTATTCAAAATAATCAAACCGAATTCTATCAGTGCTCTTTTCTGAAAAAAACACCACATAACCTTCGTAATTTTATTTTGTATCTAATTCATGCTGCGGCTAATAGAAAGAGTTATTACAAAATACATGAGAATATTAGTTGTTGTTGTTTGATATCTGAATAACTACATGTATCTCTTGTTCTTGTTGTTTAGATATATGTGAAATGAACTCATAATTTTATACTAACTTTTATTTTCATCGATCTGAGAAATGGGTTAAAGATAGTAAATCAGTATCATTTCTGCCTTTAGTGTAAACACTTTATCAAAGAACATTTTTGTCTGGTGTTTTAGCAGGCCGGATTTTTATATTTTGTTTCTACTGTATATATTTACAGTTATCAGGTGGTCGATATATATATAAATGTAGATGATCTGTAGATGGCGTCTTAATGTTTTGAAATAGTGGGCTGTAACATAGATATGGTTTTTGAAGTGTGGTGGCGATGTTCTGCATCATCTTGCACAAATGAAATACATGTTTAATGTTATATATATATGTGTGTGTGTGTAATTCCAGTATTCTAACCCTACATGCTGTTGAGCACGGAAAGAAATTAAACTAGTTGTTGCACAGAAGAGATTTTACTTATTTTTAAAAAATACCATAAAAGCTTTGCCAACGACATTCATGACTGCGAGTGATTTGTGGTATATAATATACCGACGTTATTGCCACCATTCTGTCTCGTAGCATAAAAAGTCAGATAAATGAAAAATTGTTTTACTGCCGTTAACAAGCAGGCGAATGTCAGTGTGTAAGGGTATTTTCTTCCTTAAATTCGAACATTAAGAAATGGAAATACTGAAATATATCGTTAGTGTTTACGACACATGTACCGCCAGCACAGAACCCTAAGCGAGACAGATTAACAAGCATACTTTCATTCATAGCTTTATAAACATTTTGTTTAAAATAACAACGATTTCCAGTTTTTTTCTCCACCCCAATTACACCTTGACAAATACGATACATGGTTTATCTAATATGGAGTTTCCAAAACTCAGTAACCAGCCTGAGATTCGTTTTGTTTTTACAATCGCCGGTTGTCACTCTTAGTTCCGTATAATGTGTGTCTGTTTCTATTCTAGTAAGGCCTAATGGGCATGTATAATCAGCACGGTAATGATATCACATAGTTGATCCCATATATCTGGTTCCAGATAAAATTGCATATAGTTTTGTAAAAATATCATGTCATTTCTTAGTTTCTGTTCTGTTTGTCATGTTGGGATTCTAGGGTTCCATTGGTATGTTGTGTATCTATCATGGCGGACCTTTGAATCTCGCATAAATATCACAGAAACACAAAAAGAATTCGTTGACATCAAGCAGCGCATGCCAATCTTGGTCTCACACTTGACTTTGCATACCAATTTGATGTACACTAAAACAAAACAGACGTACAAGAATTTACACGGAAATACCATGAGCGAGAAGTGATATATACTGACTTGAGGAAAGGGCAACTATAAGTTGAAATAATTTGTGCCCGATCCTTTTGTAAATAATTTACAATAAACTATATTTAATTCAAATATATAGTGACTCATTAATACCATATGTGTTTGTGTATGATGCTTTGTTTGTAATACCGACTAAAATGCTGTACAGAATAATACATCATTTTAGGTGCAGTTTTTCGTGAAAAATGCAATTTTTTAATAATTAAAAATACGAGTAATATCGTTATATGTCTGTGACATATTTTGGAGCATCAAAAATTCTAAATCCGGAACGGAATATTGTCATAGACAAGCAATCTGAACAACTTGTGAATTGGGATGTTCCTTCACCACTTATACCCCGACGCAGCGGGCATCCCACGTCACGTTTGCATGCACCAAATACGATGCATACCTTTGTTGGACCCACTGTTTAAGACGTCTCTGTGATCTGTCTCATAACATGAGTAACCACAAAAAAGAAATGTTCAATTGCATCGTAAGAGGAAAGTAAAAATGTAACGATCACACCATGATTCGAATTCAGACCATTCGTGCTCTAGATATTATTAATATCATATATCATTTGCATGGGTGTAAAATTTCATAACGAAAACTGAAAATGAAAACGGACCGAACCGCCTCCCCATTATGTCTGCCTTTTCGGATTCTGATTCCGACATCACAGGCACTCGAGGCCAGGATATTATTTTTTAAACATTGATTTTTGTTTTAGCACTCATGACTGACGTTATTTAAACGAAATATCAGCAGAATTCAAGTTTATGTGCCGGTTAACAAATCCGAGGTCCACGGTCATTAAAAATACACAAGTTACAAAACCGGATGATTTTGATGGCCAATATCTAATACCAGCACCGGCGCCGGGATCCGTCAAGGAGGGCCCCATCCCTCCTCCCTTTTCTCATTATTTAGGGAGCCTTTTTTTATTTGAGTCGGCGATGGAAAACATGGCCCCTCCTTTTTTCCAAAATCCCAGCTCATTCTCGGATTACGATATTGTGAACTGTCACGGCACCGCAATAAAAATATAAGCGCAATTTGTAAAGAGATATAGCGCTTTAACTTTAAACGGTTGCGCTCTATGAGCAAATACCGGAAAAACATCCTAAATGGACCCAGGGGTCGATCTTAACATGGTCGCCTCCCTTCGGAAACGATAAGATTATTTCATTGCATTTCATTTGCAACGCGATTGCGCACAAATAAAACAACTTTTACACAGCCCTTTTCCGACCAGATGTTGACATAGTTTGATTCTAATTGGTCTGTGTTGTAACCCACCAATGTGAAGCTGGCCTTCAGCTCTTATACTATGGATTTAGGATAGACGAGACAGTTATGAAAAGCAAAGTTTTGGAAATCTAATATTTTTAAGGGACATTGGAAGCGAAAGATGTTGATTTAGCTTTGATCCAACTTCTCTAAGTCACATAAGGTTTTCACGCTAAAATTACTTCGCTAATCTGACTGTAATCTATGATGTAATCTATGTTGTGCCGTTTTCTTAAACCTATCTTTTAGTAATCACCACCTTTCAGAGCTATTCGCCTTAGAAACATGTCAAATATTTCTTTTTATGTAACTGTGTATGATAGATACTCCACATTTCTAAAATTTAGATAAAACATGCTTGTGTTTATAAAGGTCTCTACCAAGTGCAGTAATGTATTTTACAGTGAAAACTTTTGGAAAATTACATAGGTTGGGTCACACCTCTAAATATTGGTGTCAGGATATCACAACAAATGGTTAATTAAAACAAAATGGTAGTGCAGAATCCATATGTGGTTTTAAGAATTCTGAAGGAATACTGCATGGTTCCTCCGTCGAATTACCAAACTGCTCTCTAAGAAAGTGATTTGATGCAAACAAAAGAATATTGATGGCGAATGACTGATAAATAACTCTTTATGTTGTAAAAATGAACTTTTCCAAGAAATTACTCACTTGTAATCTCATAATAACCTAACGTGTTCAAAATTTGATTCGGGGCGTAGCATGTAACTTTTACTAATTACGACCTTATCGTTTTATATGGCCGTGCACCAGAGTCCCTCGATCTGTGAACTGTAATTCAGTCTGCTGCTATCTAAAGTGTCAATCATTCATTCTGCCTATGATTCGTCACCTAAAATCCACGGACTTATTTTAAGTCTAGATTTACGTTCAAATGAAAATGAGATGAAAGAAAAAAAATGAGATAAGATACCCCCCCCCCCCCACCCACAAAAAAAAATGATAAAAATAACATATTTTAACAAAATCGTAATTCAATCTCCGAATCGATAATACGAGACAACTTTTACATTTGGCGGACAGATGAGCATCACAAGTTACTGTATAATATAGTAAAATAGTGTGGCATTTGTTGGTCCAACATTTTACGACATAAAACCGGAAGTTGACTAATTTACGGTAGCTGTTTTGCTAAACACGTGTTGAAAGTGTGAATATTTGAGATATATTTCTGGACACCGTTGGCATAATTAGCGATGGGGAGAAAAAGGGACCTGACAAATGTGGTTAAATCAGGGCCTGGACGAAAGACAAAAAAGCAGAAACCACCTCAGCTTCCAGGCGCTTTAAAAAATGCAGATGCTGGTAAGCTGAAAATCTCACCAACATTCAGATATTCAGTACACGTATAGAAAACACATGAATTGACGAAAGAGACTTGATGAGACATAATACAAGAACTTAATTTTACGTCAAGCATTAAAAACAATGACTTTGTCCATATGGTTATTGTATATCTGCACATAACCTGTGAATATATATTTATAAAATATGAACTGTTCAAAGATTCTGTTACAAGATGTTTGAAAAAAAGTATTCCATTTATATATATAATTAATCTATCAACAAATCTGGCAATATGCTATGTTTTCTTGACTTAAGTGATAAGTAGATCATCGTTGTAGTTGTGATATCTTTATTCACCTCAAAATATTAACGTCAGTGATATATGCAACTATATTTATCATTATTTATTTCAATACCTCTAGATCTGCAAGGATTCGAACTTGGCTTACTAAGTGACTAGTTTGATGCTCAGTATGTGTAGCAGAGTATGACATATGTGTTGGTCTTAACCCCCTCCCATTTTATATTATTCTTGGTGTTGTTAATTACAACTGTGGCAAAAAACAATATATTGTGGATACATATTAAATGTATTGTTAATTTTTTTGTTTTCAGATGATTCTGAAAAGAAGTTGTCAAGCAGGCAGAAACAACGGTATGTAACTTTTGTCATAAACATTCAAAAGCATTTAAATTCATCCTGTGTGCCACTTCTTCCTACGGCAGCATCTTGCAAAGCATCACTTTTTGGGAAACTTACATTTTTTCTATATGCACCCACAGACAGATCTTGCAAATTTTAATAGTTTAGTTACAATTTGACAATAATGATGTGATTTTTTTCATGTCAAATGACCATTGATTTTCTAGAATTTAGCTATGACCAGATACACATACCATCAGCTAAGTACAAATAATCATATAGTCTCCATTGTTTTCACCGACAGATAATGTAAAAAAAGAATGTTTTGATCTAGAAATACAAAATATCTCACAAGAACAAAATCAATAAGCTGAATGTGTAATTGAAAGTTTCTTTTATCATGAAATGTGAAACTGAAATTGATACATGTGTGAAATTTTAGTGTAATTTGAATCATTTACAGAGCAAAGAAAAGATTACAGAAACAACAGGAGAAAATAGAAACAAAGAAAAAGAAAAAAGAGGAAAAATTACAACAAAGAAACAAAAAAGAGAATGAGAAGCCTGGAAAGTTTGCAAGGGCTCCTGTTGTTAACAAGAAAAGGAAAATGGAAGAAAGTGAAAGTGAAGAAGAAAGTGACGATGATGAGGTAGATGATGATGAGGATGATGAAGGTAAGCAAACATGCAAAAAGAATTTAGTTTGAGAATAATTAAAATAATATGGAAGTATTTTTAAAAATATGTTTTTGCTATGTCTCATTGGAAAACATCACCTGAGCAAAGTAAACACTGAAGCACAAGTGCAATGCATCCGTCTCTTTGAAAAGTTTGGAACAGTGAAAGTATATATGATAGAGATCAGCATAAGTGTAACTGTTCAGAATATTTGAGGTGTAACCCCAAATTTAAAGAATAGTGACTGTTTCAGTTGTTATTTATTAAGCTATCTGAAATACAATAACCAATACTCCTTATTTTATGGCTCCACAGGATGATATTAATAAACTTTAACATCAGGTTTTAGATTTTGCTTAACCAAGGCTTTCCTTGAAAAAAAATATTGCTCACCTCATCAGCCATTCAAAGCAATGTAACACACAATATCATTTTATTATGTTATTGGGTCATAAAAATAAAAATTACTAAGATGCTTGTTTCAAACAGGATTGAATTACATAATTTGCATGTTAATTTTGCAGACGATAGTGCTGAGGAGGAGATGAAGCCTGTCAAGGGGTACTCGGATGATAATAAAGCCTGGTTAAAACCATCAACTAAACAAAAGTTAATGGATTCAGATGAGGTATACTGATTTTAATAAACAAATGCTCAGTGAACTTCTAAATACTGTATAAAGTTGCCTTATTATACCCTCCTACAACAGGGCTCTTGATCTGCCAGATTTGGGGCCAATTCCCAATGCAAAATAGTATCTTTTTTCCCAATTTAGACCCGAAGTTTTCCCAATTCTAAGGAAAACACCATTATTTTTCCCAATTCTAATTGCCTCGGGGTCCCAGTCCCAAAATGGGGTGTGAGAACCCTGTACAATAAATTTGAGGAGATTTACTGGAATCAACTTTTCTGTCTTTCTGTATGTCCATAAACAATTTTTCCAAACAGCTCCTCCTAAACTACTGCATCAATTTCAGTGAAACTACACAGGAATGTTGGGGACCATGTGTAGATGTGCATGCAACCTTTTTTTTCCCAGCAAAATATTGGTTGCCAAGGAAACTAGTCAATGTAAATAAGATTTTGTTTGAAAATTTTGTCTGAACAAGTTCTCCTAATCTAATGTAATAGTTTCATTTTTATGACACAATGTTAGGCACAATGTGTAAATATACATGCATCCCTTTTTAAACAAAAAATGTGTTGTTGCCTCAGTAATGGGTCATTATAAATAAGATTTTTCAGTGTTTTGTGAGGACAACTCCACCAAACTAGTGGGTCAGTTTCAATGAAATTACATATAGTGATGATAGTGACCATGTAGGGTAGTGCATGCAAATTTTTTCCCCAAAAAACATTTGCTTGCCATAGCAACTGTATCATGGTAACTGACCAATTTAAACAGGTTTTCCTTTCTCATGTCTTTTGAAGAGTTTAACAAGTTGGAGTTTACATATGCATACATAATTTATTATAGATTTATAAATCTATTCAAATTACAATGTCAGTATTATAAAGTTAAGATATTTTGCAAATTACAGGGGTATGGAGAAGGGGGTAGGGGTGTATAAGCCAGTCATTGGCTCACAGTTCTAGTTTTTAATTGTCATGTGTATAATTTGATAATACATGTATATAGGTGATAGTGTTAAAAAGAAGTGTCAACTTATGTGTGATGAGCAGCAGGATGTTGGTAATTAAGGTTAAAAATTTCTGGTACAATGTTAATTTCCTTTTCTGATCTCTGATAACCTGTCTCCAATACCGAGTTTGAAAAATATCTTACAGTAGAATATCTTGTTTTAGTTGGTTATTAAAATTTTCTCTGTTTTGCAGTCAGAAGATGATGATGATGAAGATGAGGAAAGCGATGGCGTGGCAGGAGATGACTATGATGATTTGGGATTATCAGATGATGATGATGATGATGACGAGAGTGAAGATGACAGCGAGGAAAGTGGGGATGAAGATGTAAGTGACTTATTTCACTCTGTATAGATATACTACATTGTTAAATGTGTTTGTGTACCTTGTGGAATTAAGATGTGGTTTGAATACAATTATTGATGGGGTAATATTTCTTTTGTCCATATTTTGCCATAGTTAAATCAAATTTGAGGTTGAATTATAATCCTGTTGACATGTCAGTGTTTTGTATTTTACATCCCAGTCTTTAAGAAATAATTGCCCACAACCCAAATTAGAAATCAGTATGTTGATACCAATAATAACAAATGACCCATTTATTAACTTAAACCTTTCATGGACTTTGTTATTGTACTGTGATATTGTATATATTTTCAGCTGTTACCTGTAGAAAAGAAAGCCAAAAAACTTGAAAAGAAGAGAGAGAAAAACAAGTAAGGCACCTGGTCTCTTTGGTATATAAACATGTGTGTTAGAGTTAATTATATGGAAGTGGTATAGACACAGGCAGATAGATTATCTGTTACTGTAAAATTGGATTCCTCATTATCTATGTAGTCATCACTGTTTTAACGATTGATGGTCCTAATGACCTTTTGACAAGCCGTTAAGGTTGTAATAATAATAGTAATAGCTGTCCCTATAATATTTTTAATGTTTACATTCCATTGCCAAAAGTATTATTTGGCAAATTTATATTTTTTTGGTGGCTAAATAATGATTTAGGTCTTGAAGATGTGGGAACAAGAATTAACATCATATATACTACTCCTAGAAAGTGTGTCAAGCATTGAGGTCAAAGTGACTGTTTGAGATCAATGAGCTAAACATTTGTCTTGTGGTTTGTATTTTCATTGTTACTGACACAGAGTGATTTAAAAAACTGATTCCATATGCATGAAATTTATTTTGTACTGTATGATTTGTTACTTTTGCATCACCGGAGTCTGAGGTCATAGGTCAACTAGCACCTTGTCTAATTGTCTATATTTTTAACATCACTGAAGGAGTCTCATTCAAACTTCACAAACTGTATCACATTAGACTGATTTAGGTGGTAAAAACATTATGTAGAATACCGTATAATTGTTTATTTTTGTGGAGCTTATATTCCATTTTGTTCTGGTTTGGGCTAATTCACTGATATTAAATTTCATGCATATCTATAAACTGGTGTTCATAAATACAGACCCAACAAATAGTTTTGGAGATTTTTATTCACTGTAGAAATGTTCAATGGGTAATTTGCATGAATCCAGCAAAATTAAATTCCCCAGGAATGTTACACACTATACAGTAGGAATGTTCTGTCATTACTATAAAACAGGATTTAGAACATCCATGTCACTTCAACAGGTTTTCTTAACGTTTAACCAAAAATACAAATTATACAAATATTTCCATCTCAGTTTGCAACTTATCTTCAACAAATTGTGTAGTTAGATAAAATACAGTTACTCTGTTTATACACGTTTTTGTTGTTTTCAGAGAACTTGCTGAAGCAGAACTGCAGACAAACATCACAGACATGGAGAAATACACATTGCCTAGTGGTCAGGAGGTGGAAAAGGAAGATATCCTTTGATAAGAAGAAAGTGGTTTTGAAATCTGATTTGAAGTTCATACACTGGAACTTTCATTACTGTGATATCAATAAAAGTTAAGGTCTTCAGGTTTTCAACTTAGAATTTCTTCATGAGTGAAACCTATTTTAGTCATCAAACTTCGGAAAAACAGTGTGGTATCAGAGCTAAGTGTTACTGGCAGAATGTTTTGGGTGGCAGAGAAAACACACGCTTTGTTGGATGTATTCATGTACACATAACATTCACAAATTTGAGTGCTTGGGTGTAGAAACCTAATTCTATCATTAAGCATTTTTACAGTAAGAAACCAGTAGATATGGAATGAAAGAGTTAGTTTAGATTTTGTAGAATCCTACATCTGAATTACCAAATTGGGAATGTGTTGTGTTTTTTTTTTTCTTTTTTTCTTTCCTTTTTTTTTTCATTTGTGAAAATAGATGATTCTATGTTCTCAAGGGGTCTGATTGCAAAGTATTAAAGAAAATAAATACAGCTATGGAGAGAAATATATTGGTGATATACGACGATGCTATATATGTTGACCTTGACCTCAGTTTACCTTCTCAAGCACCAGATATTGCTATGGTACAGCAAAGGATCAAGGAAGTGATGCATGTCCTGGCAGACTTCAAAGATCGCCGTGAGCCTGGCAGGTAGGGAAATAAAAATTGTCTTTGGAATAACCAATTATCTTAACATACTATTTTTACATTTCGATAAAAATATGTATGACCTACATTTAATGAAAAGTATGAAAATAATTGTGTCAAGGTGATTGTTTCCTATACATGAACAGGTATGTAATTACCAGGTAACCATACAATAATTGCAGGTCTCGCCAGGAATATGTGCGACAGCTGAGGTCGGATTTCTGTACTTACTACAGCTATAATGAATATCTCATGGAAAAGATTATGACTTTGTTCCCTCTAGAGGTATGTAACACAAAGTCAGGCACCAGGATTATTTTACATCAATCTCTTTTCTCAATGGCATTAAACACCATATTGTCCTACTGGACAGACACGTTGGTCCCATACCTATCGGTTCTCTGTAACCTGCATAACATCATCAAATTCAATCAAATAGAGGCATGGTTCAGAATATATACTTAACATTCTTCTGATTAATCAGGTATGAAAATTATTGAAATATGGGGCTAGTGCACCTCCGATATAGATTTAAGATTTTCCTCAGTCATGCTCTATGTTTAAAAAGTTTTAGCTGTTAATATCTCTGACAAGTCCTAAAAGAAGGAAACGGCTGTATGATGTAATTCAAATCATTATCTGGCACTACTTTTTCAGATGCTAAAGTTGTATTAAAATGTGATTTTCTCTTGTTGGTTGTTCAATATTGAAGGGAGACTAATATTTTTCTTGGGTTTTACTTTTCGAAAATAAATGAAATATTTACTGAGTGTTCTATATCATAACATTGTGATATTAAGTACAGTCAACATTAAACCTGTAAAACGACCTTTTAAAAAATATAATTTAACTTTTCAAATAGCTTGACCAATAAGAACACATATATACATGTCTTTTTTATGTTTTTTTTTTCAAATTCATATTTCAGGTTCAGGAATTTTTGGAGGCAAATGAAGTACCAAGGCCAGTGACAATCAGAACTAACACACTAAAGACTCGCAGGCGAGATCTTGCACAGGTGATGATGATTGTGATGATGAAAAATCTCATACTGCATAAATGATTCCAAAGATGTAGGAAAATACTCATTTTTATTGATACATGTTTAATGCATTATTCTAATAAATTGTTTCTTTGACGGAAAGTTCCCTGTAGTTAATTGCTGACCCCAATTCATGATTGTAAGAGGTAAACAAATAGGAATTTTTTGTCATTTTTGTCTTACTATAATGTCTGTCATGACACTACCTAACTTTTGGCCATGGTGTTGAGTCTCTGCCTAAATGAGGAAGACTATGAGATTTGCCTCATCTGGGTAACAGGTTCGAGGCCTATATGGGGCAGTTGCTAGGTACCGGCTGCAGGTCAATGTTTTTTCTCCTGGAATTCAGTCTTTACCCTACCAACCAAACCTGGCACATCCTTAAATGATCCTGGCTGTTCATTGGACATAAAACAACAATAAACTAAACCAAGTGGGATGTTTACCTAATGATTAGCCCACTCTTTTGTATTATGTGACTGGTTAGAATGTCATACTATGTAGTACAGGTTATGATATTTCAGTGTGATGGCACTACGATAGCATCATTTATTAGCCCCAACATCCATGAACACTGTTTTTGTATGACCATAGCTGTAGTAATGAGATAAACGCCCAAAAAAAGTAACTAAAAACTCATGGGAATACTCTAGAATAAAGAAATATTTGATAGGTTTGTTGTATTGTACTGTACAAGTGAAATCCTTTCTCGGTATTTCTTTTTTGACGTACTTACTTTTATTGAATTGCAGGCTCTGATCAACCGGGGAGTCAACCTTGATCCCATTGGTAAATGGTCCAAGGTTGGTTTGATTGTGTTTGATGCACAGGTACCCCTAGGTAAGATATTCAGTAAAATTGTTTGGTGTTCAGTGTGATAATATCAAAATGTACATGATCAATCTGGTATGTAAACCTTTCCACTCAGAGTTGGCATTGGTTCAGGACATCATGTCGTACAGATTCAGATTTTACTACTTGACAATACGCAAGTATCTAAATTTTCACAGATATTGTCATTATCTTTTCAGAGTTACATGGTAAATTATGCTGATGCAAAAATATGTGTCAAAGAATATTTTGTGAAAAATTGCAAGTTCAAAAAATCTTCCTGTTGTGAGAGATTTAATCATACTTACAATTATAGTTTTTAATAGCTTTAAAACATTGACCTGTTTCTATTCTCTTCTCAAAATTTCCTTCCAATCAAGATTAAATTTTTGGTTAAAACTCTTAACAACAGTCCAATAAAGATGGAACAGTAAAAGATATGAGCAGGAGTTTTATTTTGTCATTGCTACACATATTAATCCATTTTCCTTACATTCCTCTCCTTGTGTCAAATGGATCCAACATGATGTACTCTGAAATGTGAATAAGGAAGCCTATTTATAAGTTATAATACCACTGTATGGTCTGCCATATTTAGGAGCAACCCCGGAGTACCTGGCTGGACATTACATCCTTCAGGGTGGATCCAGTTTCCTGCCTGTCATGGCACTTGCCCCCCAGGAAAGTGAGAGAATACTGGACATGGCCTCTGCCCCAGGTGGAAAGACTACCTACATTGGTAAATATATCAGTATTGTGTGATTAATATTGAATCCTAAATTACTGGGCTAGGTGAAAACCAGAAAAAAAGGGATTAAGAAAAATGATACTTAAAGGAAACGGGTAATTCAACAGGTATCTCATATTGTCTGTTGACTTTTCCTTATTGAACATATTTGTTCACAAACATTCATGTCTATTTAGAAAATGTTTATTTCTTCACTGAAGAAAACAAAACAATTTTTGACTTTGCCTGTACATGTATATTGTATTATTGTGTGTCTTTAGTATAAATTGTGACTTCAGAAGTATGGATGTATAAAATATTCACAGAACAGTTTTCACACTTCTTTATATAAATCACAAACTGTGCAGTCAGGCTTCTCCTTAGACTATCATAGTACCATAGCTGTTAAAAACTATCTAAAAAGATCTATTTTATATACAGGTTGTATTAAACATTCCACAGTCTCTGTAGATTTTACTTTTAGATTAGATTTTCAAATTTTTTCATTATAAAATTGTTTTAAATTTCTGTACAGCTGCCTTGATGAAAAATACGGGAACAATATTTGCCAATGATGCTAATGCAGACCGAGCAAAGGCCATTGTAGGCAATATCCATAGAATGGGCATCACAAACACCATTGTGTGTCACCATGATGGACGTGTGTTCCCAAAGGTAGGTTCTGAATCATAGCATGTAAATAGTAGTGATAATCCATATGGCAGTTATGGTAATGGTAACAATTTTCTTTGATGTATTTTGTAGCCTTAGATACTGTAAAATCCCATGTAACCTGCACAGTTTTTCTTTGAGAAAATAAATGTCCAAAGTTTGGGATGTGCACGTTACGTACCAAAAGGATTTTCAAAGTTTTTTCCATGGGAAATTTAAAGATTCTGTGAGGCTGCCATCATTGTTGATGTTTTATTTATGAACAAAAATGATAAACAAGATAATTACTGTATATATTTATACAAAATATCTATGTGAGTATCATGCAAAACCATGATGAAGTCTTTGAAACTAGATAGACAGAAAACTAAGGATCGGCCAAAATGTGAAGTGAAACACTGTTCTTCTTTTGAAAATATACATATGCATGTCTACAGTGCATTCCATGTGATTCCATTCTGTGCTCTGTATACCAATAGCTTACATGATATACAGAGTTGGGGCCTCAATTTATGTCAGTTGGTATGACCTCGATGCAACAGCGATACATGAAAGCAAAGTTGACTTGTGGAGAAGTCACCTGTGTACCAGGTATTTACCTGGTGTGGTCATGATTAGGTAGATGATGACTTGTACCAGTGATTTTGTTAGGTTGAAACTTCATATCATGTTACCATATAAGGTAATACAGAGTGGGATTGAGTTTGGGGTAAAAACATAAGCTACGAAGGTCACTGTCGCTAAAATAAATATATTTCATCAAATTTTGGTTTCCAGATGATAACTTCAGAAAGAATTGTTATGCCCCGCCCAACAAAGTTGATCTTGATGACAATATCCTTGTTTTTTCGTGGTTTTCTTTTCTTTGTTTTCATGGTATATGTACTCTTAATCCATTGAGCCTTATATATACACTAATACACATGTCCAGGAAAAACAATTGCTTCAAAAAACCAAGAAAATTGATCCTCACAAGGATGTATGATTTTATAGTTCACAAAGCACATAAAATTGAGCACATACATGTCTGTCTTGTCTCTAAGAACTAAGGGTTTTGTGTTGTTCTGTTGTAGATAATGAAAGGATTTGACAGAGTTCTGTTGGATGCACCGTGTAGTGGAACAGGGGTCATTTCCAAGGACGTAGCAGTTAAAATGAACAAGGTAATGTTCACAACAATTGTGAAACAAGCTTTGTAATAATTACTTTTTACAAAGCTCTGATTTGTGTAAACTTAAATTACTGGTAGTATATAATTCATGGCATGCATGTTGTGTTTCTGATTTCATAGTCAATTAAAAATATACACCTTCTAACAACACAGTGTAGAAAATTACATTAACATTCCATTTGACATTTTAAGGGTGCATCCTTACAAAACTTGTACTTACTATATCTTACTTACCCTGGATCTGATTAGATTTTGGTCAGCATTCAAGGTCAAAGGTCACTCTTAGCCACTTTTGAAAAAAGCTTTTGTACTAGATGCCTCATTTACCTTTGCTGCATGTGCCAGGAAGCTCGTGTTCACACCATAGCATCAAACTAACAAGTTCTACACCTGATTAAATTGTGATGGTCAATGTTAAAGGTCAAAGGTCAACCTTTACCACTTTTGAAATAAAAACACTTGTGTACAAGATACTTCTTAAACCCTCAATGAATTTGGCCAAAAAGGAGTTAAGAATATAGAAAATAACACAGCAGTGGGGTTAATATAAATGAGAATCTCTGCTCACTTTGTTTTAGTAAAATCTTGCATTATTTTATCATTAAGATGATGATGATTCTTAATCTCTTTACTTAATGTAAAATTGTATAGAAGGCTGTGATCACTTTCTTTCCTGAGCTGAAAAATGTGCATGTTGTACAAAATGCCTCTAATTAAAATAACACTGCTTCCAAGAGAGATGATTAATGTCAATTGAATGTATAATGTGTAAAGAAACACTGAAGTAATACCTGTATGTCTTCCTGCATCAGTTAAAATCTTGTCCTTATCTATGGTTTATTTTGACCCCAGGATGAGAAGGATATCCTTCGTTGTGCACATCTACAGAAGGAGCTATTATTGTCTGCCATTGACTGCTGTGATGCCAACTCAAAAACTGGAGGATATATAGTCTACTCAACATGTTCTGTACTGGTAGGTCAAGTAGAACAGAAAAGACTCTCATGTTTTGTTATTACCCTTTGTAAATGTAAAGGTGAAATTCCTTCAATTAGCTGTCCATCTATCTGTTTGTTAATTGATGTGTACATACAACTCCATCACACATGTATTTATGAGTGATATGTAATTTGCCATTTATGTCACAACTATTTTAATGCAAGACCTATTCTAGTAGTGTTGAATATTTGTCCTGCCTATACTGATGTATTGGCACTATTAGGTGAACTTTTCTCATTTAATAATTGAAAATACCTGAAGTGGATTTATAAATTTATAAATTTTTCAAGGTTAAAGTCACCTTTTCTATTTATAGAAATTGTTCAATTATACTAATTGGAATTTGAAGCATTGAAAACATTTTGATTTTATAATTTCAGTTGTAGAATAAGTTTTTTCCATACAACTTTATTTTCAACTGCACGTTCATGTACTTACAAGCACATTATTCCTACGATTTTGTAGAGATTGCATTACATGCGCAGAGAAGGTAGGCCTTGGTCCTGGCTTTAGTTTTACTCCTGAAAGCATCCAGCAACTTACCATGGAGGAGATATTGGCTAAATTTTGAATGATATGTTTGAGATGTGATGAAGACATGTTGTCAGAGTAATAAATTGTAATATCTTTGATCCTAAACTGATTTCATCACAGTTTCACAATGATCTGAAGTCCATCTAATACATCTAAGAGGACTAACTATTGATTTGTTTACAGACAGAAGAGAACGAGGCAGTGATTGACTACGCATTGAAGAAAAGGAATGTGAAGCTAGTTCCAACAGGCCTTGACTTTGGCAGGGAAGGATTTGTAAAGTATGTTCTTTCTGATCCACACTTATCATTACTTCAGCAATCAATGATATATTCTCAAAGCATAGTGTATATAGAAATCTCAGAACTTAATACCTGCGTCAAATACATCAATACTTACTGTATAATCAGACTGATATCCACTGAATTTGCCTATGTTATATTTTTGCATATGTCATAGTAGTGAAATACACCCAGAGAATTTTTCATTGGTTGTGCCAGTCAGAAGTCAATGTGACGTCATGATATGGACAATAATGCTACGTCTTCAATTGAAATGTCGCGGAAAAATTGTCGCTTATGTTTGATTTTGTCGTCCACATTCGACTTTAAAACCTGTCCGTATGTACCTTTTTCTTGGGTTGGGCAATAAAGAATATATTTGTTTTCATTTCATGTGAAATTTTTTGGTAACTTGTCTCGAAGATTTTTTTTGTTTCTTGGTGAATGATGTAAAATAAAAACTTTTAAGACATGTTTCATATTATCTCATATGAAAAATAATTTATATATATACACCTGGTAATGGAAAAAATATTACTGTGAAAGATCAGACAAAAAACCCTGAGCAGTACCACATTGAAGAAACCCTGGTTCTCTGGTTCAATAATCCACAACTGAGCTGAAGAAGCACAATACTCTGTCAGCTGTGTTACAAACATTGTACAACACTTCACAAATTATAGACTGACTCCCATTACACAACTATACCTGTTATAGTACTGTACCATTGTATGAGTCTAGTTAGAGGTTTAGTAATGTACCATTGTAAGGTTTAGGTGTCCCCCTACACTTGCTTGTGATATGTGTTCTGTTTTATAACATATGCTTCTGTTGGCAGTTTCCAGCAAAACAGATTCCATCCCCATATGAAACTTACGAGAAGATTCTACCCACATACACACAACATGGATGGATTTTTTGTGGCAAAATTCAAGAAATTTTCAAATAAAATTCCTGGTACAGGTAAGTTCATTGATTTAGCCAGTAATTCTGGGAAGGGATAAGATTGATGATTTAGCCAATAATTTCTGATACAGGTAAGGTAGATGATTAAGCCAATATTTATTTGATTGTTTTTTGGCAACAATTACCCTGGTGGATGGATCTTCTGTCTTTTTGTCTGAATACCTAGGCTTTTCATTCCATACTTTATATGTGTTATCAGTTATATATCTACATTTTTCATATTTCTCAAGGCCATCCCTCACAAATTATTATTACTGTGTAAATAATATGTGATGAAATATATGTCATTTGCAGTTTTAATGTGAACAACAACTACAGTTGCTTTCTGACAATGTAAATGTTTAGAATTGAGATTTTGGAGAATTATCAAAATTAAATAAGATTTAACACTACTTCTGTTTATTTCCTGGAATAGTTGTTTTGAATCCATGCATGAATTGAAATTCAGTTTTGAAATTACTCTGAACTCAGATGATTTATTTTACACTTGCTAAAAAGTTTTTTTTTGGGAACATTGAGTTGCCACTTTTCCCATCCATCTATACATTTGTGTCCAGAGCATAACTTTCCCATCAATTAAGCAAGGACCATGGAAGTTGGTATATACATTGTTCATACTAATACAATGTGTCTTGTGCCAAATTCAGGGCATGTGATCCCTTAATTAGATTTATTGCCCTTTGTTAAACCATTGTGTCACAAGCATAACTTTGCTTGTATTCAAGCTAAGATAATGAAACTTTGTTAAAACTTTATGTCCGTAGCATAACTCTGCTTTGATGTAAACTAAGATAATGACACTTGCTGTATACGTTGGTCATACTAAGAGGAAGAAGAAATAAGTTGAACCAAACTTAGTACCTGAAAGTCTTTAATTAGAGATGTTTTGCTCTTTGTTGAAATTTTGTGTCCAATTAAGTTGTTTTTGGGGAGCATTCATCAGTTTTACTATTAATGCAATTAGACCATCAGTAATGATTTACAGCAGAAAGTGAGATAAGAGTTTTTGGGGAGCATTCATCAGTTTCACTGATACGTTTGTTACTATTAATGCAATTAGACCATCAGTAATGATTTACAGCAGAAAGTGAGATAGAGTTTTTGGGGAGCATTCATCAGTTTCACTGATACGTTTGTTACTATTAATGCAATTAGACCATCAGTAATGATTTACAGCAGAAGGTGAGATAGAGTTTTTGGGGAGCATTCATCAGTTTCAATGATACGTTTGTTACTATTAATGCAATTAGACCATCAGTAATGATTTACAGCAGAAGGTGAGATAGAGTTTTTGGGGAGCATTCATCAGTTTCAATGATACGTTTGTTACTATTAATGCAATTAGACCATCAGTAATGATTTACAGCAGAAGGTGAGACAGAGTTTTAAAGTATCTCTATTGTCATTTTAGGTGGCACTGCAACTGATGCTGAAGCAGAAGATGAAAGTTCAAAGGTCATGGATAATAATAGCCCAAAGAAGGCTAAAAAACAAAGTGAAAATGTGAAAAACTCTTCCAACAAGGACAGTGATGATGATGATGAGGAGGAGGAGGAAACAAAAATAAATCAGAAAGGCAAATCCAAAAATAAATGGTTAGGCAAAAAGTCCAACAAAAAGAAATTTAAACCTGGACAGTTCAAGAAATTCAAACCTAATTCTAAATCAGCTGGAAAGTGAAACATGTGAAGTTAAAATAATTTCTGTACAATTAATGTTAATGGTTGTCATGATGTGGGTCAGGGGTTATCAATCATGCTTGGAAAATTTGGTTGGACATTTTCATGTTGAGATGTCAGCTGGTGTCATCCAAGTACCTTGTATCTGAAAGTGTCACAGAATTTTGTTTATGTCAACTTTGATTTGGAATGAGATCAAGTGTAATGAAATGGATTCTAATTGACATGACCATGCAAATGAAGTATAAAGTGCATTTTCTCAACAATTTTAGTGATATTCATATACATGTTGAAATTCATTGTTGAAATTAAATTTTTTTGAGAAAGTGTATGTTTATATGTGTTTATTTTATCTGCTATAAATCAGTATTTATTAATTTTTTCATCAATAAATTCATGGACACTTAATAAGTAAGTTGGAGTGTTGTGTAAACTTGGGTAAAGATCCAACATGTTTGGTTCAATACTCCCTATTGTGGCAGTTTCTGTTTCTCAGGTAGCTGAGAAACGGACTGGTCTGTGCTATCATGGTTGCGTCTTTGGGCAAGAAACTTTGGATAACATGCAACAGGCCTCTCATATGTTGTTCAGTGAGGTAACTACTGCTACGAGGAGATTCCACTCAAAACTTGTTTAAATCCTACCCTTAGAAGAACCGTACATATTTACTGTGTGTCCTGAGAAGTGACCAACATCTATTCGGTCTTTCCTGAAAATCGACAAATGCATTCACCATGTCCTGAAAAGTGACCAACATGTTTACTGTGTGTTCAGAAAGCGACCAACATGTTTACTGTCTGTCCGGAAAAGTGACCAACATGTTTACTGTGTATCCAGAAAGCGACCAACATGTTTACTGTTTGTCCGGAAAAGCGACCAACATGTTTACTGTCTGTGCTGAGAAGCGACCAACATGTTTACTGTGTGTCTATAGAAATGGCCACCATGTGTTCTGGGAAGTGACCAACATGTTTACTGTCTGTCCAGAAAAGTGACCAACATGTTTACTGTGTGTCCAAAAAGCGACCAACATGTTTACCGTCTGTCCGGAAAAGCGACCAACATGTTTACTGTCTGTGCTGAGAAGCGACCAACAAGTTTACTGTGTATCCGTAGAAGTGATCGACATGTTAAGTGACCCTCACATTTACTGTGTGTCTATAGAAATGGCCACCATGTGTCCTCGGAAGGACTCAGCTTCCAACCATCCATATCATGTCCTCTATTTTTGTGGTGCAGTCACTGATGTAATTACTGAACTCACTGATGTAATTACTGCATACACTTATGTAATTACTGCAGTTACTGATGTAACTACTGCACTCACTGATGTAATTACCGATGTTGTTTGCAGCATATCATAGACTTGCTCTGTATATCCTTCCATATTTCCCATTGTGATCATTGTGACTAGTAATATAATGACATGAAAAATATTTGCTTACACTGGAGTATGACAAAAACGTGTACATGTATATCATTTGATTTTATTTTTTACATTATCATTTCATCATCTGAACTTGTCAATCACAAATCTAACCCTTACTTACATACATTTGATTGATTTAATCTATGGATAAGAATCCTATTCTAAACATGCAATGATATTGTCTATACACTGATATCTAGTGATTAGAAACTACCCAACGAAATTATATCTAAGAAATCAATGTTCTATGCGAACAATTGGACTTCACACCAATATATCTGCTCTGATTATAATAGATCTACTAGTTACACAGAAGTGAAAAAGTTTAGATTTAAACTTGGCCATCACAGAACCTTCAGAGATCTGTAAGTATATTTAAATTAGTGCACCATCTCACCAATATCCAAGAGAGAAATTGTTGCTCTAAAACCTGTTAACACCATATAGCTGGTTATTTTCTTTGATGGAAATTTTCGCTATTTGCTTTTAAAATGATCAAATTATGTTTCAACAAATTAAGAAATTTTGCGATCTGGATTTAAAAGGACACCTAGTACACACTTGTCTCACTATTTCAGATTAATAAGTTTTTCTGCTGTCTGTTTGTCCTTTGTCAACTTGAACCTCGCCCATAACAATTACACAGAATGAGGTTTGTTCCTTGTGACAAGGCCTTTCTGATGGTACCAAATATTTCGACCATGTGACCTTGATTGTGATCTTTGACCTAATGTGAAAGTGACAAGTCATTTCCAGTAGTATCATGTGACCATGTGAATATGTGACCTTGACCATGACCTTTGAACTACATTTGAAATTTAACACTGGCCATAACTATTGCATCATAAAGAGGAATAGCTTCACAATTGGCAAGTGTGTTCTTTGTTACAAGACCTTTCTGGTGGTACTAAACGTTTTGACCATGTCACCTTGACTGTGACCTACTTTTGAAAGTTAAAAAAAATCATTACCACAATGAAGATACAAGTGCATCACAAAGTTTTACAAAATCTGGTATTTCTAACTTCAAGTAAAGAGAACACAAGTTTGACTATTTCCAGATTCTTTTTGAGACAGAGAGAATGTTTGAATTCTATGTAAATAATATTGCAAAAAAAATGAAATTATCATAAATCTGCGTAGAAAAACACATTGACTGCATCCATAGAAAAGTAAAGCTACATAACCCATAGATATGATCCGGTTTTTGAAAATGAAATATTGTGGATAATATTGATCAAAGATTATATTATGTGCACTGTGATGTTAGAGGAAATCTTGGTGATGATTTAATCCTTTGTGGGGACGAATTGGAAAGATATATCACCTGGGAATATTTGCCACATTGAAATCCTTTGATTTTTTTTAGCTGAGACACAAATAGTCTTGAACTGAAGAGGTAATCCCTATAGCCATGTGATACTGTGCAGCCAGTATATTACAAGGTTTAAATACTCCACCTCTATAAATAACTCGTTCTCTGAGTTTCCAGGGGTTGAAGTGATGGTTATGGGACATTACTCATCATGTCTCCTTCCTCTAGCTGAAAAGAATAATGCGGCTAGATTTTTACTAGAGTTACATATATAGTGCAGAATTTAAACACTGGTACTTCTAGAAATTGACAGTCGTTTTTAATTCATGTTAAAGACTTGTATGAAAAAAGGACAAAGGGTTATTAAGAACAAAGGGTTATTACTCCTATTACATAAAGAGGAATTAGATCTCAACTTCACCTTATAATGCTACATCATCCCTGAAAGAATAAATGGGAATAAGAGCTGATTATGGATGGAATGCGATCAAATAATTCCTGCCGAAATTCCAAGTAAAATTGAGACAGCTAACTATCAGCCATATTGCAATAATGAAAATGACTGATATTTGCTATTAAAGCTTCTTGTCCCAGCCGTTAATGTCATGTTTCGGATATCCGACAGAATTTTATAAACATGTCATTTCGAAGTTGATCCCAAATGCATCCAACATCTTGGTGCATTCTCACAAGAGGTCAGCTGTAAGGAAGTGGTCAGTCCCGATCCAGCCTAATCCAGCTTTATGGAGTTGTCAGATATTCTCTCACCTACTTAACATCAATTTCGTAATACCTGTCAATTAAAAATGATTTCACAAATCAATTCAATTTGTTTCTCAACTATGAAAGCAGGTCAATGATTATATAATGAGAAAAGTATTTACAAGACAATCCCTAGTCCCCAACATGTAACTATTTTTCTACTTATCAAACTGTATAGGTATCTCAGTAATAACCAAATATATGAACGTATACTGTTACAAAAGGTTGATATCAAGGTATCATAATGTTGGTAGGATGAAATTTTTGTTTTTTTTTTCACTGTCACAAAATTTTACTTTACTTATTCCTAAAACCAATTCCAACATCTTATGAGTTGTGTAATTTTAAAATTTGGAATCCAGATGAAAGTTAAAATATACTTAACACAATTAGCACATACCACCAATTTTTCCAGTGAATATCCTAATGGGTTTAAATATAGGTCACGAGTGAACCATTTTTGATCAGAAATAATATAACATACTTAAATTTTGGAATCCAAATTAGGGAGTACATATATTTGATACAATTTGAACAAACCACCAATTTTTCCAGTAAATGTCCTAATAGGTCAAAAATATAGGTCAAAGTGAATCATTTGTTTTCTTCAGAACTAATCTAAAACACTAAAATGTACCTGCATCACAAATTCAGTAACTGTAACCTTGTGATTAGAAATATATATTGAAAACAAATATCTCCAATCAAAATGAGGTCAGAGTTAAGTATTTGGGTAAACTTTACATCTACATATGAACTGGCATTCAAAATTTGAAAATTCTAAATGTGATATCTAAGATGTGCCAAAAGCATTTTTTCAGTAAATGACACCAAGATATAGGTCACAGCAACTTATTTTTGGTACTCAAGATGACAAAATTTGATTAGTCCAGAATAGTTCTGTTTCCTCTCCACAGTAAAATTGTTTCTGGGCTTATTTAGCAGAAAATCTACTATAAGTTATATGCATGATGTACCTATTTCACAAAGCTATGGTTAAATTAGATTAAATCTTAGTCTTACCTTGCGAGCAAATTCAGGCAACGTAAATGCTCCTCTGTGTACTTCAGCATTGTAATATCTGAACTTCAGGCGTATTTGTTCTTCTTCTGAAAATTTTCTCAGTGGTTCAGAAAATGCTGTATCCTTTAAAAAGCAAAATAAAAGAAAACATAAATGTTGAAGTCTTATCTCTATATTCAATGTGGAAGTATAGTGCCATCACGTCAGCTCTATCAAAGTTGGGTCCACTGGATATTGGACATATACTGACCTGGTTAAATTGTAATAAAAACTACAATAATCTGATATTTTACAAATTTTGATTAGTATTTCAGATTTTCAAAATCAATTTTTGAATCTAATATTGTCAAAATGATGTTCCTTCAATGACCCTTCAAAACGCACAGTCAACCTTGATTTTGAAGGGATATGATCAGGCCCCAGTTTCATGGTTAGTTTGAGTTAACCAGTAGTAGTGAAAAATTTTGATTGTTGCCAATTGAAAAAAGTTTCAATGCAAAATAAAAAAAAATTCAAAATACATTAAACCTGTCTCAATAAATTAAGAGCTATGAAACGATAAAAGATAATTCATATGCTGTTTAAATCAGAGTTGAAAATTTTCGCTTATCACTTACTAGTACAATGAAAACTAAATGCCTGCACTGCCTGCATTATCACCAAATTTGTTGTTTCAGTGGATAAATGTATCTACTATATTGCTTCATCAGATGAAGAAAACATCTATTGTGATAATCTGAAGATGTTTTGGGGATAATCTTAAATATTGTATGAAAGAGAAAGCATTACAGAGTAAAATCAGAACAACACTTAGATGTAGGTACAGTATTGGGAAATTATGGCCAAGATTTAGCAGTATTGACTAATTGTCTTTACTCACAATGAAATTCCAACAATCAAATATTCTTACTTTCAAGTTCTAAGTTTTAAAACTTAAATTCTTAACTATTACATTCCAAAATTTTATACCTATTTTCTTATTTGGAGTGGTGTTAAGTTTTGTGGAAGAAGTTCAAGGCAGATTTTAACAATCACACGGATAATAATCCTCAGAAATCATCTGAATCAGGTACAAGCTTGTGTACTCCAGGTAACCTTAGAAATACTTACTGGGTTAAGACTACAGAGAATGAAGCCAATCTGACCACTAGGATAAGTAGGGATGGTTGTGTAGGCGTAGTCCACCACCGGGTACAGACTACGACAGAAGTCCTGCATGGACTTGATGAGGTCTAGATGTAACCATAGGCATTCTCCTAGATAAGACAAGAAAAGTACATACACATGATAATCCAGACACTAAAAATTAAAGTCTTACATATGTATGTGTCTGATGTACTCAGACATAATTCTATACTTGTGATAAACAAAAACACAATCCTACAGGTTTGATATACACAGACACAATGCTATGTGTGTGTGATGTACACTGACACAATTGTATGTGTGTGATGTACACAGACACAATGCTATGTGTGTGATGTACACAGACACAAATGTATGGGTGTGATGTACACAGACACAATGCTATGTGTGTGTGATGTACACTGACACAATTGTATGGGTGTGATGTACATGGACACAATGCTATATGTGTGTGATGTACACAGACACAAATGTATGTGTGTGATGTACACAGACACAATGCTATGTGTGTGTGATGTACAATGACACAATTGTATGTGTGTGATGTACACAGACACAATGCTATGTGTGAGATGTACACTGACACAATGCTATGTGTGTGATGTACACAGACACAATGCTATGTGTGAGATGTATGATATAGCTGTTTCACCCTTCTAGGACTTGTCTATGATGCTACAAAGCCATACTGTAGAAACCCATGAGGGGACTAAAGAAAACTCAAATTGGTAGTATTCATTTTATCCTTAAATATTTATGAGATCATATGATCAGTTCCTAGTGTTTTGGACTTACCTTGACAGCAAAGAATTCCGTTTGGTTTTAATGCTTTTTTCATCAGTTCATAATATGACTTTTCAAATAAACTAGAGGCTGGACCTACAAAACAATCATGCTGATAAAATAATTTTGTTGAATAAAAAATGTGCATTTTTGTATTTTAATCATGCACTGTATTTGACAAAACTACAAGTGGAAAAAATTTCATTAAGCATTCAATGAAAAAGTTTATTGACACTACAGGCGAAAAAACAGTAATCCAGACAACTCTGTTCCGAATCATTGTTCTGCTATTGTAAATGTATATTTTTCTTGGAATGACAAAAAAGGAAAACAAAACAAAAACAGTAAAATACAAATGAACCATCACATGATTCCACAATTAACAATATTATACCAAAATGGAAGAACAAATGTATATTCAGAAACTAATATTTTGCTTCAAATCTCTTTTTAAAATGCATTAAAAAATTTCATGCTTTTTTTTTCTGGGTTTACCACCCTGTGAACAGCCAGTTTCATTTTGAGACAGGGCCTCCTTGTTGTAGCTGAAGGCAACCTCACTGTAAAATATTTGGAAGGCTGTCTCATACCATCCAAAATATTTACAGTAAAGCATCTTGTCCAAGGATACAACCAAGTCACCACAGACTAATCGGTTTCTTAACTGAGAAACACTTATCACAACAGCTAGGGACATTTGATCAGGCACCTTGGATTTTCATCTAATGTTACATAGATACTAACATTCCATCGACTGAGCTTTTGTAGTTATTATAGTCGGTTAAATAAGAATAAGAGCAAACTAAAAAAAATGTGTACTGATCTTTTTTTACTTTTTAATTTGGGGACAAAAATTAGGTTGCCCTGCCTCCACCCTCCCTGTAATACTGGTATGTAGATAGATATTGTATCTGCTGACATTTTCTTATGTGACAGCTGACAGATTAACAAACACTGCATCAAAAGATGCAGGTTGGTAAAGACAACATGGAAATGTTACAGTCGTAAATGGTGAAATTAAGATGTCATTGTCAATGAAATGCTTGTAATTTACCTGATATGAATGAAGTTCAGGATGAATTTATGACATATAGAGGTGTAAGTTCATGAATGTAAGGTTATTTGACAATGAAAGGAATGACAGTATGAATGATAGGTGTTTTGAGGACATTGTAATGTTTTATATCTTTGTTAAGAAAGCATTTGCTGTAAAAAAAAAAAAAAAATAAGAAGACAACTGTACCTATAGGGTCAGATGAATCTGTGATGATCACATCAAACTCGCCCTGGTGCTTCTTCATATACTCAAAACCATCACCTATATGAAGTTTCAACTTTGGACTTTCGAACCCACAAGCCATCTTTGGTAAAAACTTTTTGGAAACATCTATAACTTTCTGGAAATAATAATATATTTGGCTCAATCATCTTTAAATGGTTGTATGTAAGATAATGTCGCATGACACAAAACTGAGAACACAAGTATTATGTACAATGATTTACACAACAAATAGGTTCAAGGTCAAAACAGACAAGTGTTGTATCCGCTTATGCTAATTTACATGTTACATAATAGAGAAATGAATTTTGGAATCAAGTTATATGCAAATTCCATTACTGTATGAATTTTTAAAAATTACAATTGAAATAGACAGAATCAACTGTATCTAACCAGAGAAATTTAACACAAAGTTCACAGAATGAAAGCAATTTCTGATTAATTTCTGAGTAATTTTGAGAGCTGAAAATTTAATTTCCCTTTAAAAGTACATGTGACTTACCTGTATAAGTAGCTTACCTCATCAATTTCACACATCTCGACGGATACAACCTCTGGGTGTTTCACCACCTCCCGTAATACTCCACCATCTCCTCCACCAATGATTAGCACCTGGAGTTAATAATAGAAATGTTGAACACTTTTAAACCAGCAGTAACAACATAAGATATGGTAGAGCCAAACAATGATCTAAACTGCATCATACAGCTGGTTTGTCCTTCTAAACCTCATCAGTTATGGGCCTAAATTTTGAAGCCAAGGAGGCAACTGAGGAACATTCAAAGTAATCAAAAGAAAAATCAAAACCTAGATGGGGCAGGGCACTTGTCCTATAATTCAATTAATCAAAATGTGACATGCAGGTTACTCCAAGCCTCAGGGACATAAAGTACACCAACAGTTTCTACCAACTGCAATCTGGAAGATTGTACGAAAGACATACAAGTGAATAACACTATTAAATACAAATTAAGAATTAGATAGAGTAGAGCCAAACAATGATATCATACAGCTGTTTCATCCTTCTAGGACTCACCATGTTGATAGGTTAACACCTGTGCTAGAACTACTGTAATTATTTTAACATTGTAAATATTCTAATGTTGAAGAGAAGGGGATGGTCAGGTCACTAAGGTTATGGTAAGAGAGAGATGTACTTTGATGTATTGGTTTTGTGTTATTTCTTTATAGAGATTTACGCAGACTGCAGTGGCACAGTGTAAATAGAAAACTGAAAGAAAAACAAGATTCAGACCTTAAAGTTAGACTATGTTTTACTGTAATCGGCTGAAAGAAAATCCTTTCACTTTCCTTAAGTTTCCTAGAGATAGAGCAAGATATTTGGTGTAGATCATTTAGAATTGACTCACCTTCCTTGGGTTAGCATGAGAGTTTAGAGGTAGATGAGCCAGCATCTCTTGATATGAAAATTCATCTCTTTCTGTGCATTGTATAACTCCGTCTAGGACAAGAACATTTCCATATGTTTTGCTGAAATAGAAAAAAATGATTCATATGGAACAAGTATAAACACTTCTTGTCATTTAATGCTATTTATTGCATATCTATAGGTTACCCTGGTAAAATACTAGCTGCAATATACTGCTCAGCTATAGAGAATTTTCTTTAGCTTGATTTGTTTGAATGTCAGACATGAAAGCCAGAGGTTCCCAGTTCGAATCCTGGAGGAGGCAGTGAAATAAATATTGACCTCACTCTGTTAGAAATTGATTGCGAAATCAGAAAATGGACAGTGATGACTCCTATTTATTTTCTCATTCATATTGACTTTAAACCCTGTCAAAATGTAATTATTATTACTTATATGATGAAAATGATCTAAAATGAGTTTTCATTGAATATGAAAATTTAATGTAACTTGTCATAAAGTTTTAATCTATAGCCATGAAGGCTGGCAAAGATAAACACTTTCAAGACCTATTTGAGAAAAATCTCATTTGAAATGAAAACTCATTTAAAATTATATATATATATATATATGTCATATATATATAAGTTTTTCACTGTCATATTTTTTTCTTGGTGTGTTTCAATTTCCACACACTATTTGATACCAAGTTCCATTTTGTCCATAATATATAACGGTAATAAGTGATGCCTTTTGGCTTTGAAGATATCAGTTTCAGACCACAACATATTTCAAGTCAGACATTTTTCAAAGCTGAATCATGTGGACAACTGACAGAATTTACTATGTACCTGGATGATTTAGATTGTTGTAACAGGTTGGCCAAACCTGCTAATAAATACATTTGTTGAAACATGTTATGGTAATCTCATGACCTAGATAGTAAAATATTTGAATGCAGAAGGATGCTCTATAAATCCAACACTACCTTTCATCACATCGGTTTTTTTTTTAAAAAGCCACACAAAACAACATACTCAGAATAAACTAACTTAGACATGTATATTATAAATCATCTGACGATGGTAGGCCAAAAGGTACAATCTAGGATTTATCTGTTCACCAATGTACAGTTCATAGATTTTTAACTTATGTAATGAGAATACATGTTGAAGTTTCAGTGCATCCTCGCAATCGAAGGGCTATATTTCAATGGCAAATTCGTCAGTTTGTGTCCTACTAATATTGGTGCTGGATAGATAAAGAGTTAAATCGATAATTTACAGAAACTGTTCAGAAATAAAAAATGAATACGGACTTTAAACGAAAACAATATTACACGTGGACGGTGGATGACATAGATAACAGTAAACCTCATGACCAGCCAGCCAGTCTCGATCTACCTTTTAAATACTAAAACATCTTGATATTTTGATTTCTCGTGAAAAAGGACCTCCTCTACTTGAAGTGACATCGCCTGGCCCGGCCATAGTTCGCTCATCTCACTGAACCAGCCATCCTGTAATTTGTCCATCTTCGCGAAGCTATTAAAAATCCCACGTTGTCTAACCGGAAACAGCTGGGCCTCTCAACCGGAACTTGAAATGTAGCACATGATATGAAAAGCAAGTTACATAAGAGGCGACTGCCTACGCATATACATATATATTCCTCATGAGCAAGGTACTTGTGTGATATTGAATAGGCTACATAACAAATAAATAAATAGGTGAATGAATATTTTTCTTTCTCAAGACCTTCTTTATGGCAATCGGAGTGGAAAAAAGTCAGTATTCACGGTAGACCGAACATTTCTGTCTCTAAAAAGAAAAAGAAAAGAGTATTCACATTTATTATGCTGTCATTGATATTTACATTTATTGATTATGTATGGGCCCACCACCAATACCGTATCCGATGCCGCCATCGCCACCGCCATACTAGGTACGGATTCTGACTCCAACAAAGATGTTGAGTCTGTAAACACAACAAAGCTAGAGTATGCATTAACACTAAATTTTCTGTATATGCCTGTAATTTCGGCGATTTAGATGTTGTTGCTCTAGTAATTGGATAGTGAGGTAAATGTTATGTCAAATTTGTTTGATTCCATTCCTGCTCATTGTAAGTCCAGGATTAGTGACGAGAGGACTAAATCCATGTTGCTGGTAAAGCTAACGTTGCCATGGAAACATAGTATTGATGTTGTTGTCACTCAGGAAAGCTCTCATCCCACAACATTACTTTATTTTACTAGATTACTAGATTTTAGAAATTACATATACTTGTGGGAAATCTGACAGAGTGTGTTCCAAAAGATTTGTGATCTCACCAAACAGTGAACGTAGATTATGGGCTAGTATCAAACATTTTGTATGGTGTTCGGGGGTGTTTGTCAGGGTAATACATCTCTAACAAAATCTAGTTTACTTATGGCAAAGTCTGTTGTCAATGTAAACAGAAAGTACGGTTCTTATACAACTGTTGAATCCTACAAGTAACTCGGTTACAGTGCCCAAGGATAAGGCCATATGGAAAATATCCAGTTTTGAACTTTAACAAAGACGTTGTGTTGACTGGTCCTAACTTAGAATGTAAGAGGTTCTCCACGTAATATTTCTCCTCATGTGGAGAAATAGGCTCGCTCAACTGATTAACATTAATTAAATAATGACGTCAAAATATTTGTGACGTCATCAAATCTTGAAAGGCGAAAAGCAAGAAAACGGAGGTAGGAGGGGGTAATAATATCTTTTTCTTTATTTCATGACTGTATCCAATATCAGATGTAGAGGTAAAATAAAACTTATTTTCTTTTTATCTTTAAAATAATATCTATGCAGTTGAATGCGTGAATGCTGTTTACTCGACAATTGCACTTGTTAAGTAGTATTCAAAATGAACTCGTCAGTCTCATTTACAACGGGCTATCAAGTAATGCAGATGTTGATTCTGTAAAGGGCAAGGATCAGTGTGCTGTTGAACTTTCGGCAGACAATTCTAGTGTTGATATGACTGCTGATATTAATTTGTCGAACGAATCATTCACGCAGACCAGCAATGATGGGATTGATGCCCCAGTTGTCTCCCATGAACATGCTAGATAGGTTTAACCCTTAATGTGCAAACAAGTGTTCCTCCTAATGAGGATGACAAAGACGTGTTGTTTACTGAAGGTTCATGTGTTTTATATGACGTTGATAACTTGTCACCTGTGCGATTTTCTGAGGCATCTATTCGTCCTACTATCACCATTGACTTACCACCATTTCTGCACAATCAGACAGAATCTACACAAGACTCTACTCATCAATTATAAGACAAATTGTTACCCAATGTTGATGAACCAGATGTGGAAGTTTTGACTGATGATATTGATGCTTTTACATCAGAGTCTTCTAAGCCAGACTTCCAGACTAATACTATACACCGAATTGAAGTTTTCAGCGAAACTCATCTCTCACAACAAAGATGTTGTAGCTCTAAGTTAACGAAAAGTACAAAGAATTAGTCTTATCGTTCTGTTTTACCCACATCACAGAAATGGACAAGAATTTTACTACAATCTTCAGATTTCATTATCATCAACAAGTTGTTTTTTTTCTAGGATTGCAAAATCAAAGCGCTCAAAAGTCTTGGATCACTAACAGCTTAAGCGATGATATTTACATAACTAAATCTTTTTCATGTTTCTTAATGGCCTGTCATGGTGGGAATCGGCATACTCAAGGACGAGCAATTATTTCCTGAAGATGGCTAGCATTGTTAGTGACTTTGTTCGTTCATGCCGTTATTGTCAAACAAGGAAAGTGGCCAAGATGCCAACCAGAGCCCCAATCACGGCTTTCAAAACGCCTTCACAAGTATGGCAGATTGAGTTGTATGGACTGCTACCAACTTCATCAAAGGGCCACTCCTAACTATTTATCGCTATTGACCTATTCACTCGGTACTTGTTTGTATTGCCAATTTTGAACAAGGATGTACTAACTTTGACACAATGCTTATATGAAATGTTTACTCAATTTGGTGTTTGTGATTCCCTCATCAGCGATCAAGGCACTGAGTTAATGTGTAAGTGTACAGCGAAGTTTGTCGTCTACTGTATGTGTCTCAGCAATTCACACCCACTTTTGTCCATCATTGCTGAGAATCATGTGAACGTCTTCACCGCAACTTGCTGAGCGGATGACGCCATGCATTAGTCAGAGAAGAGCGTGGGTATTTTACCTGTTGTTGTTTACGCCATGAATACTTTTGTTAACAATAGAACAGGATATTCACCTTTTAAACTGATGTATGGCCAGCAATACTGGGAAATATTGCGGATACAGATTCAAAGGATTACCTACAGATAGCCGCATGCATGTTCAGCAATATGCTAAGCGCTTGATTATCTTATGTTCAGCAATATGCTAAGCGTTTGGGTATCTCATGTTCAGCAATATGCTGAGCGCTTGGGTATCTTATGTTCAGCAATATGCTAAGCGTTTGGTTATCTAATGTTCAGCAATATGCTAAACGCTTGTTTATCTTAGGTTCAGCAATATGCTAAGCATTTGGTTATTTTATGTTCAGCAATATGCTAAGCGCCTGATTATTTATGTTCAGCAATATGCTAAGCGCTTGGGTATCTCATGTTCAGCAATATGCTGAGCGCTTGGGTATCTTATGTTCAACAATATGCTAAGCGTTTGGTTATCTAATGTTCAGCAATATGCTAAACGCTTGTTTATCTTAGGTTCAGCAATATGCTAAGCGCCTGGTTATTTATGTTCAGCAATATGCTAAGCGCTTGGGTATCTCATGTTCAGCAATATGCTGAGCGCTTGGGTATCTTATGTTCAGCAATATGCTAAGCGCTTGGTTATCTAATGTTCAGCAATATGTTAAGCATTTGGTTATCTTATTATCTAATGTTCAGCAATATGCTAAGCGCTTAGTTATTTTATGTTCAACAATATGCTTAGCGCCTGGTTATCTTATGTTCAGCAATATGCTAAGCGTTTGTTTATCTTATGTTCAGCAATATGTTAAGCATTTGGTTATCTAATGTTCAGCAATATGCTAAGCGCTTAGTTATTTTATGTTCAACAATATGCTAAGCGCTTGGGTATCTTATGTTCAGCAATATGCTAAGCGCTTGGGTATCTTATGTTCAGCAATTTGCTAAGTGCTTGGGTATCTTATGTTCAGCAATATGCTAAGCGCTTGGTTATCTATGTTCAGCAATATGCTAAGTGCTTGTTTATCTAATGTTCAGCATTATGCTAAGCGTTTGGTTATCCTATGTTCAGCAATATGCTAAGCGCTTGTTTACCTTACGGACAGAAATGTTGGATCAAGTACAAAATTCGCGAAAGCAATCGTGTCAATCGCGACAGTCGTCTATTAAATCTTACAGCTGGTAATTATTGTGTACATAAAAACAAGGCCACGAACTACTACCCATGGCTGCTGGACCTTATATTGTTCATCAAGTACTTAGTGAGAATACCTCGGGGAAAATCTTGACAAAACCAGTGCATGTTGACCGTCTTAAATTGGCATATGTGCGAACTCCTCACCCAACCAATTCTTTCTTACAAAAAACAGTCAAGTCAGTTCCAATTCCTGTTGGAGATCCCTGTTTTGATGTCCCTACTGAGATTGATACTGGAACTTCAGAACAAGAAAAATCCCTGAATTTGGAACAGTTATATACTGGTGTGTTACAACAGAGGTGGATTCAGTCTCTGATGCAGACCCTCCAACAGATCATAATAAGGAAAATTCACAAACATTGAACACAACAAACGCGTAGATATACCATGCACCATTGATGCTGCATTCATGGTAGCGTTTCGGGTTTCGAGAGATGCAAACTTATAAAGATTGTCATCATAATGATCTCATTGTTTACCATGTTCTCTTTTGGAACGTAACATACTTTGTTGTATTGACCAAGATTTACAAATGTACATGGCGGGTGTCCATGCAGTCTCTACCGCAGTTGTCGTTCCTCAACAGTCACAATGCATTTATATGGGTACCGTAATGCAGCCTGGATATATTGGTGTCCGTGATGAAGCGGAAGACGCTTTCTCTTTCGAAACACATGGTCTTACTCTCCTTATAAATTTTTTCAAGAGTAAATGTGAATCTCTCTTTCTTTCATATTTTGCTATAGTTTTATCAAATTTGAATATGGATTCTGGTGAAATATTTTCTTTTTTATTGTTTTATCTGAAAGGAAGTTGCCTTTGCTTCATCGTCAGGGGGGGTATTTGATCTCTGTAATATTATGCTTTGCTGAGAAAATATTTAATTCGAAATCGTGTAATGAATTAACAATATTTGTCCATGACATGTCAACTTTTCACTCCGCAAGAAGAAAAAAAAAGTCAAACTAGACATCATACAGTCCTATTGTCTGGGATATTTGTATTGGCGTGTCCTGACTACGTTTATACTGTCGTAAATATATTTTTTCAACTTAATCCGCTTTTACTGCCAGTATGACATAAAAAATGTTTTGCAATTTTTCCTGCTTTC